CGAGCAGCTTCTGCAGCAGCGGCAGCTTCTTGGGCAGCCTTTTCTGCCTCAAGTTCAGCATTCCTGGCTTCTTCTTCCATCCTCCTTCGCTCCAGTTCTTCGTCGCCGTTGCAAAAGTTGGGGCAACCCACAGACGGGTCCCATATAGCACCGCAGATGTAGCAAAACTGGGCCTTACATCTACAGGTCATGTGAGTGCAGCCTTGACTCAACTCAACCAATGTCCGGCACTTGTAACACCTTCGCCAGCCCGATTTCTCGCCCATCTTCAGGACCGCTTCCAACTCCCAATCAGACGGGCAGTCCTTGCCAACGGGGTGAGCGTTGCGTTTGCACATCACGCAGACTCGTGTCCGGCACTTGCGACACACAACGTCAAAAGGGTGCTTCGGGTCGATCCTGTTACGAGGGGGGATGAATTCGCCACACGCTGTGTTCGGACAGAATATCCTCGCTTCCCACGGCGTGCTGAATTGCAGAACCGACTTTAGAAAGGCATGCTGCTCCTCCCGACTGAGGATCTTCTGAACGATGGACCCTGGAATCGGCTGCGTGCAGCATCGAGGCGGCATCTTGGATTCGTCCGTCGTTGATTGCTGAATCATAATGCTGAGACACTCGGCACAGTATGTATGGCCACAAGGCAAGCCGTGCAGAGAATTGGACTTGTTGAACTCATTGCGACAGCATATACAATAGCTATAGTGTCTTCTGTTAGCAGCCGAGGACGCATATAGTCGAAGTGCTGTGCTCACATTGTAGATTCCAGCATACCAGAAGTCCTCTTGCGTCGTATCTTCCGGATGCCCTCCTTGATACTGAAATAACTCCTCCGTGAAGAGACGCTGAATAAGCTGTGGGTTGAGGCGCCGTGGGTAATGGATGGGGATGCTTTTTGGATCTTGGGTTGGTCGATATTGGGGTCTATCTGAGACAGGTACTTGTCGTATTGGGAAAAGCCGAGGCTCTTGGATCGTTTTCTGGCGAGGGAATGCGGAGGGGTATCGGCCGTGATGGGAACTGCGTGCAGAGACGGATGGGAGGTGAGGGTTGTGCTGGCGGAATTGCGCGAGGCGGTCGAGAAGGTCCGGACATGCTGTGTTGCAATGGTAGAAGTCTGCGATTCGGCGCTCGAGGTGTTACGCTTCTCGGGTGATAGTCTCGATATTGAAATACCCAGGGCATTCGCCTTTGCGATCAACTCCTCCTCGATAGCTGCTTCCGACACTTCTGGCGTGAGGTGGAGGACCTGGGTAAGATATTCCGCCTCGTCGTCTTCGATAGATGGCAGAACGGCCGTCGAAGGGGCCATGTCGGGGGTCGAGCACGTCTGGCCGGCAAGCGAGGCCATGACGGACAGAGTGGGCAGAGCAGAAGGGAATAATGGTCAAGTCAGCGCAGCGTGAGCAGAGGCATCGTGGTTCGGCTCGGTGCGTCGGACAGCCTCTCCCAACCTCGCCAGTCAAACAATGTGGCAAGTAAAGGTCGTAAGACTAGTTGCCAACTAATGCGCAGAGGGGTTGAAACGGCAGTTGTGAGTATTGGCTTGACATCGAACGGATAAAGCGAAGCCGGAGAAAGGATGAACCCACGAAGTAGGGCAACCCACAAGGTTTGGCGAGCAGTTGGCAAGCAGCAGCAATGATAGGACGAGAGAAGGACGAAGGTTCCTGGGTGGTGGCCAAGGGCAAGGAAGACCCAAGGACGGGAAGCGGAAGGAAGTGTAGTCGGTATGTCGTGGTACTCTGTAACGTGCGTAGAGGATTGCTTCTTGTTGTTTTGAGCCTGGAAGTGAGATAAGCGAACCAGGAATGGGCCTAGGCCGTGAATTGAATGTGTCTTACGCGATGGGGAAACAGCACCAGGTTTTGAGAGGGAGAGAAGGGGGGGGGGGGGGGTGGGGTGTTAGGCCTCGAGCACCCAGGTAGCCAAAAGGACGATCGAGTCAAAGCGCGATTGACGGTAGGGCGAAAGTGCCGTTCTTTAGTGATTCTTGGAGACCCTTGAGAATTACGGGGGGCGAACGGCCCAGAACGGAGCTGTGGAGGACGATGGGGATGAGGGGAGCAATGCGCGGGCATGTGTAGTGTGTAATTAGTGGGAAGGCCGCCGCCTCGGATGATCAGGTTGGTTATCTGTCGGTGGATTGACAACGCCCCGATCTGAACCCTCCTTTTTTTCCTTCTTCTTTTTCCCACCCCCGGTCGAAGTTGGTTTCCTGGTGAGAAATCCGTATGTGGAATACAACAAGAGACGATGGCGAAGGATAACGTCAAGACGCAGAGGAGAGTAGGAGGGTGGCGGCGGGGAAGTGAGATAAGGGAGAGATGAACGGATGGTGTCAAGATCTTGGTCCGTTTTCCCTTTTTTTTTCCCCCTCTCTCCTTGCTGGTCTCTTAATTCTGCAAACCACAAGGAAGAGTCGGGTGAGAGCGGGACTCGGAGGATGTGATTCGGTGCTCGTTTGTCTGTCGGGTGATGCGCGATGGGAAGAGATGAGGGGGGAACGGACTTGGTGGAGAGCCCAAGATGCAGCGCAAATGGATTTGTTGGACCGTGTGGAAGTATGGAGCGTGGCCCGTGGAGAGTCAAGACGGCGGATGACGGGCAGCAGCCGAGAACAAAGCGCCTACTAGTCGTCGAACAGGGGGCTGGGACTGGGATCGTGGGATTAACGTTCCAACTTTCCCCTTCTCCAATATCGAATGATACCTAAGCAGCAAGATACAGTCCTGTGCCCCCCCTGTTGCAGCAAAGTGGGAAGGAGGAGAGCCGAGGAAGGGCGACGGGCGCTAAGTGTAATCGTAAGAATACCTAATCATGATCCCAACAGAGCCGCCGCCAGTAAGAAATGACAAAGACATCTGAGGCCAAGCATAACCATGCAATGAGAGCCACTGGCTTGGGGAAAATTGGGGAAGCCAGTGATATTCGGCGGTAAGCGCCAAGTGGGGTGTGATTGGGGGGTTCCGCCCTCTGTTGGGCGTCGTCACATCCATCATAGGCATGACCTGATTTCCAGTCTGCCTACTACGGATAGCTATGTAGGCATCTGTATCCGTACTAGTAAACTACATCGTACTTAGGTAACAGAGGCAGCACCTACCACATATAGTAAAGGTGCCAACTACAAATGGTAGTGTGGACAGTTGGTGAGACAGGGAAATCGCATCTCGCCGAGAACTACTGGTGGATACGATAGGTACGTGCCCAGCCCCGCACCGACCTGCTATTTACAGGACATAGGTACGTTACCAACCTCTGCAGTGCCTTTCCAGCGTGTAACTGCGGATCGTGTGTGTCTGTGCGATCCCAGTCTCGATCGTCAACCCCTCCCCACCATCCACTCGAGGTGTCAGCAGCGTCTTCCTTGCCTCGCTGAGTTGACAACCACCGCCGACAAAGAGAAATGCGCCTGCATCTGCACCTGTTGCACGACATGCCGCAATCGAAATCGCACACTTGCATTTCATGCCGCATTTGCTTGGTCATCACTACTTGATTACCCACTATCTCCTGGGCTAGGTCGAGCACTAAGAGTCTTTCTTCACCTCGCAGGCCAAGTAATGGACCGCGGTCAACAACCACTTTCACTCCGACATGAACTTGTCTAGACAATTCCGGACGGGAGCCTGCTGATAATTCCAGGAATCCCCCTTGGTCGCCTTCCAAGCTCGTTCGTGTCCTTTGCCTCGGCCGCACGCCGTTGACCAGCTGTAAGCAAACACTACCTACATCCCTGGTAAGGTCTTGCTTGAACTGAATCAAACAGTACAAGCGGTGTCGATCCTTGACGAGCATCGTTACCATGTAGATGCCTGCTATTGCTTCTAGGATGCCGTCGCAGCTTTGCCCGGACCCCAAGGTCAATGCTGCGTCAGCATTCGCATTGTCGACTCTAGCTGCCAAGGGGCATGTCGGACGGATACATTGACATTAGCCTCGTTGTCATCCTCGGCAGCTTTGCGCGACCTGGATGTAGCTTGAATGACCGGCATATGCAACTGTAAAACGGTCCGTCACTACTCAACTAACTTCCTCTTAGCTACATCCTCACATTACACCGGATGTCCGCATGCCCAACTAGTATCAATAGTGGCCTGTTCTAATATGACCTGTATACCCTTTTCATTTCTCAATAAAAACAGATACGATACAGACAAACAAGGTCAGATTCCTTTTATTGCCCCCACTCGACCACCGGCGGCCGGTCGTCTCGCGGCATAGCCGTTAGCCACCCTTATCCGGTAGGTATTGGGTCCGGGCAACGACATCCAACATCTAAACTCCAAAAGGTACTGGAAACCTTTGGACGTTGGCAACTCGCCACTTTGACTTTTGGCACATCCTTGATGGTGAGACTTATCAGGGCAATAATACGTCGGCTGATGGCTTAAGCTTCCTTGCCTTCTTCTTTTGGGCAGGGATTAGTCGAATTGGCCCATTTCGCCCCGGAGCACCAGCTCCTTGAACTCGTGCAGAGTATGCAGATTCTGAATTCTTAGTTGCGCTGCCATAGCAACATGTAGCAGCAGTCCTCGCTCGTCTCCGCACACCTACTCCAGATTCCACGTCCGGACAGAATGTCCGGACGTGGAGCACGCTCACGCCCTGTCCAGACCCACACTGGCCGGCTGACCTCCGGACTTGTCTCCGGCGCGCCGGCTGCTGGGGTACCGCACAATTTAATATGGGCTCGGCAGGCCTGCAGTTTCAAGCCCGTGCTCGCGATTATTTGCAGTATACTCCGTAGTCATCTGAGACCTTATCAATATCACCTCACATCCTTGCTACGTGCTGTCTGCTGTGTCCTCGTTGGGTATCGTGTATTTCCATCCTTACCCCTCTGACCGCCATGAACCGCCGCCCCCCCCTGACCAGCTCTTGTGCTGACTGGGTGTCCGCTTCCATATCGGATGGTGTCGACCACCGGAAATGATCATCTGTGCCTCTCATTCCCGGAGGTCGCTGCCAAGAAGTAGTTCGGCCACGACTTTCTGAGCGGCGAAGCGAGCACGACGATGTCCCTCACTGTTGAAAGAGAGCATCTTGCAGAAACACAAATTCCTTGTGCGCGACATCGCTGACGCTAGTTCCAGCCCAGTCTGCTCGTCTTCGTCTTCCCCTTCGCTTTGTTGCTCGAGTCGCCTCAACAAGGCGCGAGAAGTTGGTGGCAGAAACGTTGGCGCGAGGCCCGCATCATCACCACCCACCCCCTCCCCCCTGCGGACATCAAGAAACCAAGCCCGGCCGGCATTGTTCCGCTTTCTGATCGCCCATATGGCAAGAACGCGAAGCTGTCAATCAAGTCGAGGCTCATCGCTATGTGCATATTCAAAGTCCTCCGTCGCCACCGACTGATGCCTCTAGCGGTCCTCGTGTTCAACCACCCAAGCATATGTGGTCCAGTTACTGGAGCGAGCCTACGGATGGCGGCCCACCGAGCGCACAGTCTCCATTTAGCAGTTACAGCAGCCTGCCACTGCTTTATGGCTTCCGACAAGCATCTCACAAGCCAACCCAGTCTGCAAGCCGAGTCGATGTACCGACGGTGAGCCCGAGTCAGTGGTGCATGCCATCCGCGACGCCAGGGCACGGCTAAGCCTGACCAGGTAGTCTTCTCGCATGAGATTATCGAAGGAGAAGTTGTCGACTTGCAAGCCCTCAGTCCAAGCTCTGACCCTTTCATGTCGTCTCTTTCTTCATTTCCTCATCCTCTCCCACTACTGCTGAGTGGCTTGCGCTTGTTGATCTGTCGAGCCATCAGCGGCGAGCTAACCTTCTCCTGGCTGTCAGACTTTCTCGCTTGGCCTTAGTTCGCTCGGCTCGCAAAGAGTCATCATATTCCGCCTTCGGCGACGCACGGTCAAGGCGATTGGTCAACCCTGTCATCCGAAGCGTGGACGGGGATGGGGGCAAACCCCAAGAGGCAGAGATGGGTTTTGTTTGTTCCTCTTTGGCGTTTCTACAATCTCGTCCGGGTATCTTAGATCATAACAACAATCTCTAAAGCTGATTGTGGTATGCTCGGCCCCTGCCACTTCCGACCTAGTCTCATTCCTATCCGTCCGACAGTCGAAAAAAGCATCGTTTGCTTATTTCAATTTTAGCGACCTTCTCGCCCCTTTCTTGGCCCCCCACCATTCTGGGCTTCGACTCGACCTGATGGATTGGGAAAGGTGAGGGAATGGGGGCTCGCCACCGGGCGCCGGATTTGGTCACTGACGGGGGGGGGCTGCGGCCGTCATTCTCTCCCAAACGGTGAGCCGTCAAGCATTCCTGGCCTAGCTCTGGGAAACATTCCCAGAGGGTTCGGAGAGTTCTGGAGTCGGGGGCCAAGAAGGCCCCGACACAATGGTTCGCAATGATGTTTACTACTCTCTGTTTTGTTTACGTTCGTCACTGACACGCAGCGTGTCTTGGAAGCAGCCAATCCCCGGAAGAAGGTACATCATCCATTCGTCATTTTTTTTCTTCTTTTCTTTCCTCTGGAAACTGTGCCTCGTCTATTGATCTATTCGGCTGGGGTATAGATACTATTTTGGTGTACAGTGAGTGCTCCTTTGCCGTAGGCAAGCAAGCAAACAAGCAATCATTACAAAAACAAATTGTCCGTACAATGAGTTGAGAAGATGGAGCGAGAACTCGCCTTTCCCACATGGGATCCGGTACAATATACAGTATGTGTATGTACGCTGGCGCAAAATTACAGTAAACGATAGCAACGGAGTTGTGAGACGAGGGCATATTGCTCGTGGTCGGTTATTCTTCTTGCACATTTCGTACCGGCCCGTCCATCCAGAACGCCGTGACATCCGTTCAAAAGGTCTAGGTTTTCGCCTTTGCGGTGAGAGCCCTTATCCTTCAGGGATGGCCAACACCTCGTGCGAAAAAGGGGGGCATCACCACGCTTACGGCATAAACGCAAGCAAGCAAGCAAGAAAGGAGCCGAGAGTGTTCGCGATCCCCTTTTACCTCTCTCTCTCTCTCTCTCTCTCTCTAGCTTCATCCGTTTTCTTCGGCCGCCTCACTGGAACCACTTCTTGGTGGTCATCTTGGCGTTGGCGGCTGCGGCGGCCTTCTGGTTCGTTACGCGGCGGAACTTCTCACGGTTCCGGGCGTCGAGCAGACCTGCTGGGCCGTCGTCCTGAAACCAGTGCTGACCCGCCCCGAGGCTCGGCTGCGTCGTCGCCGATGGCGAAGTCAGCTGCCGGCTGGTCCGGGTTAAGGGCCCGCGCTCGTCAAACATCATCTTGACGCGCTGAACCTTGCGCAGCTTGACGAGGCCGTACCAGCAAACCAAGAGGGAGCAGATGGTCGAGGTGATGGTAACGCCGGCGAAGCCCCAGTTAGTTTCTTCAATGAAGTTCTCGAGGTTCATTCCGTAGAGACCTGCGAGGAAAGTGCCCATGGCCAGGCCGAGAGTGCCGACGCTGAATTTGAGATCAAGAAGCATAAGGGCATTGCGGTTGGCGTCGAGGATGGCGCGGATGCTGTGGCTTTTGTTAGCGGGAACGGTCTTTTTTTCGGGTAGCAAACGAGCAAGCGAGACGGAATGGGCTTACATCTCTTCGGTGTTGCGAATACCAGACACCAGATTCTGCGCCTCTTGAACGATTTCGTCACACAACTTATTGTAAGATTCGAGGAGCAGCTCTACCTCGGTGTGGTCGTCGACACCGCGGTAGAGGTCGTGTGCTTTCTCGGTTAGGTACATCGCGGCGAGGTCGTCGTCGGCCTCGAGCAGCTCCTCGATGGCGTCGCGCACGAGCTTGGCCTTCTGCTCGAAGGTGCTCACCCGCTTGGACAGAATGAGCAGGACGCGCAGTTTGTGCCGGTCGATGTCATGCTCGAGCTCGCTGAGAACGCGGATGACGGGGTCCCGCACGGACTCGAAGTCAGCCTCGAGCTCCGAGGTGACGGAGGTCAACACCGCCTCGAGGGCGCGGAACTCGTACGGCAGACCGTTAACGCCGCCCTGCACGTGCTTCTGCTTGAGCTTTCCCTGCAGGTCATACATGAAGGCCGACTGCGGGTACGATGTCTTGGAGCCGTACACGTCGAAGAGCAGCACGCGGTCCTTCTTGATCAGGACTTTCAAGTGGAGCAGGTTGAGGAGGATCGCGCTCTGGCGGACGAAGATGTGAGGCAGGTTAGAGGAATCAATCTTTCGCAGGTCGCGGGGCAGCAGACCGTACTATAACCACCCCGTTGTCAGCATCTGTAGGAAGTCCCCTTTTGGGTTGGTGAAGTCGAACCTTTGCGATGAGCTCCGTCTTCTTGAACTCGCCATCGACCAAAATTACCTCGCCGTTCTCGTCCACCTCGGTACATCGCAGCCTGGGCTCCAGCGCGGCCTTCGCTGTCAGCATGCGGCGGCTGTTGAACATGGAGCCGGCCTCGCCGTCGTCGTGGAAGGGGAGGTCATTGGGCTTCAGCGCCTTGGATCCTCCTCGACCTCGCATGCCCCATAGCCTCTCCTTCCACGTCGGGGGCGGCGCCGAGGAGTCGTCGCCGCAGGAGTCTCGTCTCGCACAAGTGGTGCTAAAGAATGCGACGGGCGAGGAGGGTAGATGGGCGAGTTTGCGTCTGCGGCTCGCCCGGGTGATGACGGAGTCGCAGCTGGAGCTGGAGCTAAGAGGCGAGGCTGGGAGTAGCCCGGAACTCCTGCAGTTGGTCGAAACCGGCCTTGTCACCGTCGCGGTCCCTATCCTTGAAAGCCTTCTTGCAAGGCATTGGGGATTTTGAGCCAGCCGGGCTGGGCTGGGCTGAATGGAAGCAGTCGTCGCGGATTCGGCACACTGGGTCCGACTGAAAATCGAAGAGGCCTCTGTTTGCGATCGCAGAAACCGTAGCAGGCTCGTCGATGGAACCGGGGTTCGGATCGCTGGACGCATTGTGACGGTCCAATACTGCACTATCCCCTCTTTCGGAGACGTGTGAAGCTGGGGATGTCGTCCGGGGGTTGAGTTGAATCTTGCGACCTCGGATGACGACGCGAACTCCTCTGTATCTGTATCTGCTGCGACTGACACTTTTTTTTTTTCTTGATGTTTTACCGCGCAGCTGGTTCGAAGCTGGGATCCATGTGCACGGTCCAGGTGACTACACACGTCCTGTTTTTTGACATCATTCCACACTGTCTTCGCACGGTACGGCGGAACCCACTACTGAAATCTCGAGACCCCTCTAATGGTTTGGATGACGATGAAATGTTTTCGTAGGCAACACCATTCGGGCCTCCTTTATTCCCTCACGACTTTTTATCTCTCTTCTTTGTTTTACATCTTCGGTTGTCCAACACGCGTTTTTTCTGGCCCATAAGAGGTCAAAGTCAAGGAGACACAAGATTCTTTTACTTACACCACTGATACATCAGCTTTGGTCTTCTCTGTAATGAACCATCCTTACACCTCGCCTTCTGGTCGGCTAAGCATTTTCGACAGTACTTCCAGATACTTTTCTGAGATGAAAAGGTCGATATAATCACGCCTGGGGATACGGGAGCGAGCTGGGAGGCGTATCCTTTCCCAACGGATCATGCAGTTGACCCCTATCAAAGTTAGAGGCAAGCGTGGCAAAGCCCCTTCGTCCAAGGCACCGACCAAGCAACCGGTGAAGAAACGTACATCACGCCTTTCGAGTCGCTTGTCGGTCAAGCGCAAGTCCCTTCTGGAGCGGCAACTACCTCTTGAAATCATCGAGCGTATCTTTGTCCTCAGCCAGAACCTCAACTTCCCCCGTTGCAGTCCCCTCGTCGGCCGTCTTCTCTCTGGTAGATCTACGCTTGTCAACCTTCTCATAGCTGCATTCCACCCTACGTGGGATTGTTGGTTTGGTGTCAACAGACGTGCGCTCAAGACGGTCTCAAAGCGCGATGCCACAGAAGACTCACGGAGAGTTTGGCGACATGAAGACTTCTCCGAGTGCTTCCCGGGAGATCCAGAGTTCCAGGTATGATAAGATAACGCTGGATGGTCCCAGATCGCTAAATCACTTGTAGTCTTCCGTGCTAGCATCTCCCTGGCTTAGCATGGATATCATGATCGACGCGCGGCAGGTTTGGGCCTGGCGCTTCGCTCGCGACAGGTGGTATTCGCATTCCCACGTCGGTCCAAAAGACGAGGAGACGGACCATACGGGCTCCCTGGACTGCCTTCATGACAGAGTTGGCGGTTTTGGTCACTTTGATTCAAGTGGCTGCTTCGAGTATGATTGGCTCGCGTACGGGCTTAACGGCCCAAAACCCGCGCTCGACTTTTATGTTGATGTACACCCCAAGGCAACTATCCCAGACGGTCTCATTACGGGGCCATGGACACCAGAGCAGCAGAGGCTTCTCTTTTGGCTTCGGAGAGGCGGTGCAAAGATCCAGGCCGAACATCAGACCTGGGAGGCAAGTGATCTGATGCGTCGAAACGATCTTGGGGGTGGTTAGAGTGCTAACACATGGGCAGACGCTGCGGGTTGGCCTTCAGAACGCCGTTACTCACCGGAACCCAGGAAACCTGGACGGACGTCTGGTGCACATGCTACTCCTTCTGGGCGACTTCTTCTCCTCACAAGGGCTCGGGGATAATCTGTCTCTCTGGCCGCTGGATGTCTTGGAGGAGGAACATGCCAAAGTGGCCAGGCTGCTCGAGGCAAGGGGCCGCAGCAAGGCTGGGCCCCTACCCGAGCTCGTCCAACTGGAGAAGCTCATGGTTGACTACCACCGCCGCAAGGTCGATCTCCTCACGTCGAGACGAAGTCGGAACTAACATCTAATGTCGTACCCGATCCTGTGTCGGTCTTCTGCACTATTCAGGAAGTTACTGTGAGCTAGTGAAGGAGGAACTGTACATACTCGAAGGGTGTGGCTTGCTTCTGCAAATATCTCGACGTCGCCAACGCTCATCTAATACATTTTAATGTAATGCGGCGGCCGAGGAACAGGCTGACGAAAGACGCGAGTATGAGGATCCTGTGTGAAGTCGTTCGAGACGACTGTGCTGAGAGTATACTAGGGGCAAGAGCGTCAGCTTCGAGATACCATACACGCAGATCTGCTTAGCATCAAAGCTAGTATGCCGAACTAACTTATCAGAGCGTACGAGAGTCCCATTTCTTTAATAAATTAGTCAAATTGAGGCACTACACCGGACCAAAAAGCACTCTCGAGGCCCTAAATCTTTCCTTGCTATAACCATATTACCTGGGCCGTGAGGAGTCTCGAGTGATGACTTGCACACTTAGTTTCCTCAGATGTGTCTCAGGACATGATTAAGGGCATCCATGACGGTACTTGATCATGGGGGGGAGGCGTCAGCCACCTTACCGAGTGTATAGACTTCACAGCCTGACTCCGTCGGCCAACAGTCAGCCAATCATTCACACGATTCAGTCGTGTTGCCTCCGAATGGTGTAGTTGATTCATCACGTTCGACTGTAATGGGTTTCGAAGATGATCGAAAGGTCCCTCGTTCGATTCTGGGTTCGGAGATGTTCTTTCTTTTTTGTGGTTATGAAGGTGTGTTCTCGCTGGCCCGGTAACCCCCTCCCCTCTGAAGGACATAACGCTGGCGCTCTCGTCTTCCAAAATCATGCGAGTAAACGTTCACAAAACACGCTGCAAAGGGGGGAGGGGTAATTTACAGAACAGCCCAAGCCTCTGTGGCTCGAGAACTGGAGGTTTCGGTAGCGAGGCCACGGCCAGGAGCCATCGCCGCGCGGCTACGAATATATAAGGAAACTTCCTGTCCGTAAACAGTAGAAAGCGTTCGTGGTTCTGGAAGTGATTACTCGGTGATCAAAGCATCTGGATGACCAACAGGGTATATTGGTGTCCAGCTGAGCCGTAATGTCAACAGTCACTACAATACCAGAAGTTTAGTTGATTGCCGTGTGTGGTTTCTCTATCCGCCGCCGGGTATGATGCCAATCAATAAAAACATGTCCCGCTCATGAGGCGCTGCCCTGGCTTAGAGGGGAGCTACAAGTGTGTAGTTTACGTGCTTAGGAGGAGGGGGAACACATCCCAGGCTGAGGCGTTGGGCGTGGGCTCCATTTCGACATACTCCCAGTTAGCAACACAGTCTCCCTAGTATGATCTCGTAGGATGCAAACAACAAGGCATCTTAGGTGGGGGAAGGACATCAAACCCCAGGTAAAGGGCGAGTGGGAACACTATTCGTACACGACGAAGGACGACTTGGTGCCATTTCCCCATTCACAGTGTGTCGTCGAGTGCGATTGACCGCGAGAATCGCAGGTACGAAGATTTGCTGTAGCTCCCACAACGTGACAAATGACAAGGAACAGCACTTGGCGATGCTGTACTCAGGCGGACATGGGGACACTTGACCAGTTCCATGGATAGCAGCAGTTGGCCCTCTATGAGTCCTAGCTGTTGAAGCAACGATAGACTCTCGCGCCCGATGCGACAACAACTACGTACGCGGGGCCGCATCTCGGGATGGCCTGACATCCTCATCCACGCCCAAAACAAGCGTTTCTCGAAAGATCTGACAGACCGGAGAACGTGTACGAGGGAGCGATATACGAAACGGATTTCCTCGCCTAGCCTTCGGATCAACCGAAATCACAAAGCAGAACCGGGGCACTCGCCTACAGTTGTCGTCGGCCTCTACGTTCTACTTGCCACGCACAGGAACCTAAGAGCAAGAGGTATCGTCAAGGCAGATTCTGGCCAAGGACGGTCGGTCGCCCCCCAAAAACATTGCAAACCACTGGCATCCGGAAGTCCCGGCCCCAAGCATCTATCTGGCTGGCGTTGACTGACACATTGGCGACCATGAGCCTCTGCGGCCCCTCGCGGCACGCACTGAAGCACTTCAGACACATCCCCATCTCCTCGAATATTCCCGATACGTCTCGCCGATACGCTGTGTCTCTTCTCCCCCGTAAGGCAGCGGCGAGCCGTATTGGGCAGGCCAGTCTTCTATCGGCGACTTCACCTGCCGGGTGAGTAATTCGGGCAGGATCTTGGCCTTGAGAAGTCAGGCCGAGAGGAGTTTCCTGGGAGAAGGGCCGGCTCGTAGAGATTTCGAGCACGCCACTACCTTCGGCGTCCTAAAATCTGGCATCTGGCATCGCGCCCTCCTCACACGCCAGCGAGAGACTTCCAAAAACCCCCGCCCACATCATAAGAAACCCCAACGGCTTCGCGTGCCAGGTAGGCAGGAAGCGGTGGCCGAAGAAGGCACCAGCTTGGGGCCACCGTCAGGGTCTTACGCCGCAGAGTTGCCTGGCAGCCAAGCAACCTCGTAGATACGCGCGCGCGCGCTCTCTCTCTCCCTCTTCGGCCAACTTCACAACCCAGGCTTCTGGGCCCATCGTGACCTCCGCCAACCTACTGTTCCCCTTCCACGTCTTTTCCGAGGCTAGCGGCCATCTTCCCTGCTTCCCGAGCGTAAGCCTCAAACACTCGTGTAAGGCCTCTCTGACACCAAATTGACAAACATCCCGAACACCACTCGGTGACATTCCTCCAGGCCTGTGAGAGGGCACTGGGCCCCTCCCCCTGTCTCGCTGCCCGAGATGCCCTCGCGGATCAGAATGAATCATCTTCCGTACCCATCTTTTAAACGGCACCAGACCACCGTTTCGCCCGAGTACTTCTCCAAAACCGCGCAGTCTTAACGCTGGGTAACTTATCCCTTACGGCGAAAAGTGCTCGTCGTCGAGGTATTTTCCGTGAAGCAACCGTGGAGACCGTTTACAGACCCTCCCCTCCCCTCCCCTACCCTCCCTAAACCCCCCTTCGTGCGTTGGCCAGTCCAGTCCAAAATGACCTGTTAGCGTACCCAGCAACAGTCATATGACAGACACTTTAGGCTGTCGTACAGTGGACAAGAACTTTTTCCAACCCTACCTACCTTTCCTGGAAAGATCCCAGGAAAGATCCCAGGGGGGTTGTTGAATCCACCGCGCGGAAGCGAGGTAGCTTGTGCGTGGTGGCGGCCGTATGACTCACATTCCAACCATGCGCGCGCCATTATCGCCGACGAACCATCGGCGTTGTTGGGCTCCGTTTTTCAAACGCCCTAGTCAAACGGGAGCATGCATCAGTAAACCGTTTGTATCGTATTGCTGGCCTCATTCGGCACATGCAACGGAAGTGTCCCGTTAGTTAGTAAGCAATAGAAAGGTCCTGGGTGTACGGATACCAGCAACGTGACGTCTCACAACGCACACTTCAACAAGCCGTTTCCAACACAAGTGTCCACAGAAGCGAATTCAGTCCCAAATCTGGTAGATTTTTGATTGATAGGCCAGACAGAGCAACAACTCGTCTCATGGTCAAAAAGCTAGCTATGAATCTCTCGAATATAGCTTCATCGCTTTTTCGGAAGTTGTAGTAACACGTGCTATGTCGTTTCCATCCTTTTGTGGAACTTTTCGATAACCGCGGCCAGTGACTTGCTTCTGCGTGCAGCGAATGAGATGTGTCTCGTTCTGCTCGTTCTGGTCGCCCCTTTCGGATCTCCCTTCGAGCGCCCAATCACACATACCCAAACTCTGATCGCGGGCGGTTCGACTCGAAAAACTCGTCATGTCGTCGGGCTAACAAACGCGAGAAATTCAAACGCAAAATCGACTCTCTTCTTCAGGGGGTGATCGTACAAACAAAACCGCGGCAAACAACCGCCATAACATCAATCCTCTTCGCCGTCCACCTCCCCAAGGCCTAGGTCCTTTGATGCATGCAAGATTACCACGCTTTTCGTGCCGTTCCTCGACGCCATCTAAGCTGTTCTAAGGACTTGATGAACCGCCAGGTGGTATCAAAGCTCCTTCCGTTCCCCGCCACCTCGTATCGAGTTTCGTTTTAACAAAGGAAAATGAGGATAATGCACAAGAAGGTCAATTGCCTTGTGACTTTTGACCGTCGGGGTATATCGGGAAATTTGCGCGAAATGCGCTTAGTTGAGGATACCATCCCACATTCCCGGTCCGCGGTACCCATCAGTAGAGTGAAGGCCCGTTTCGTAGACCGGTGTGGCTTCGTTGGCGCAGCACACGCGCTTGCGAGGAGAGCCCCGCTCATTTGTGGCCTTGTGGTTGCTCCTGGGACGAACTAGAGACTGAGTCCACTGTTTCCCGGAGTAGTTGCCAGACAGCATGTCGCGAACGTTCTCTTGAAGGGAGGTGTCGACAATCGAAACACCACGAGCTCGCTTGCGCGAAGAGATGCCGGTCGGGGTAGCATTGTCAGACCGATAGTTCTGGAGCTCCTGGAGTGCTCGTGCGGCATCGTTCGCGGGGTCGTGAACCATGGCGTCCAGTTCGCATTCTCTCTGAGCCATTGGCGTATCCAACGACATATCACCCAATCTTCCCACCGGGCCGGTGTAAGACTCAGGCGACGACGTTAGAGAGGTCTCTTCGTAGTCTTCAGGAACCGAGGTGATCGTCGGTCTCAAGCTCGCCCTCTCACTACACAGCTTCGCGGACCGGAATCGCGCCTGAATCCCCAAACTAGGGGCCGGCGCGCTAACCAGTGACGAAGCCGATGAGATAGAGGAGGAGCGCGAGGTCTGTGACGAATCGGAAACCATCGATTCGGGAGAAGACGCAGTCGAGATTGAGGCGGCGAGAGAGGATCGGCGAACGGGGAAATACCCCTGGGGTGACGATGCGTTTGGAACGGGCCAGCGGTCCAGGCACTGGGTAGCACTGACGCACGAGGCCTGGGCCATGGCAAGGCCCATCGCACTGCTTTTGCTGGCGAGGTGAGACGCAGCACTCACGGCAGGAGTGCTATATCCGCTTGACTGGGGCGTGAGACGAGGGGTTGGTAGCAGACCGAGGGCGGGAGCCAGCCGACCCGGAGTATATGCAGAGGCCGGGGTAGGCTCCATAATAGTCGGGGTCTGGAACGACCGCGGGGTGGGAGTAAGCTCTGCAGAGTCATAGCCCAACCCGCAAGCGCTGGTTGCAGACCGAACATTCTGAGTAGCCGACAGCATGGTGCGGTAGCGGGGGAATGTGCAAGGAGTTCGGTTGATCTGAGCTGTAGGGATCAGACCTTCAATGTTGTCCAGCTCAGGGTTCAACTTGAGAATGACCATCTTCCAGTTCGAGCTCTGCTGCGCGTACCACTGCGCCGAAGTTCCTGGTGCCGGAGGAGACGGCGGCGTGTACTTCAGGACAATCTCGGTCCATCGCTGGAACACTTCGTCGACAATGTGCAATTTCCAGTCAACCGCCAGGAGAAAAGCAATCTCGTTCTGGTTGATTTCTGCAGTGTTGAGTCCCGAAATCTTACTCCAAGCTCGCGCCGAGTAATTCCGATCTTGAAGATATTTTGAAGCCAAGATCAGTGCGGCAAGGAACATGCGACGGCCACACTGAAGCGCGCGGCACTCATCCTTGTCATCGGGTTGTTCCATGGTAAAATCATGTTTCGGAACGTGGGGCTTGATCAGAATTAGGTAGTACAGAGCGACTTGCAAGGTAGAATAGCTGGTGCGCGAGCGGCGCAGGGTCTCCTGAATGAAGGTTCGCAGCGGCAGCACGGCCTTGCTGCCAAGCTCATTACGGCAGACAGCAGAGGAAAGGGGCCAAATAGCCTCGACGATCTGAGTTGACGAATCTAGAAGCGGTATCGGGTCAGGAAACATCTCAGTTGCGCGTAATCTCCTGTTGTGGCTTACCGACGAGGTTGTCGACGAAGTTGACCTTGCGCTCGGACTGTCGAACCAGAGTCGGAGGTGCTCCGGAGCGAGTGTTACCCGCGCTAGTCCGTCTCGGGTTTTGCCGTAGCTCCTGGGGAATAGCAACAGGGACTTGCTGGGTAGGTTGTTTGGCCCAGGGGCTCGTGAACCTAATGGCAGAATGGCATGAGGCAGGAGGTCGCGACAAACAGTACGAGTCGGTCGAGTCGGAGTCGGAAGCGTTGGCGGGGGAAGTCGAACTAGAAGATTGAGAGGAAACAGCGGACCAAACGGAGCCCGACGAGGTAGAGGTCAGGGATTCGACGGAGGAGCTGTAGGTATCGTTTCGGTAGGTGCTGATGAAAGCCGACGAATCATCGACGCCGAACTTCATCTTGAATGCAGGGTGGGTGGGGGTAGGGTAGGGGAGTTTGGCGGTTGGAAATTCGAAGTAGGATGTACCTCCAGTCGCCGTCAAGCTAAGTCAACCGGGTAAACCGTGAAAAGGTTCGTATGAGCAGATCGTGATACCGTATCGAAAACGCAAACCTCACAGCAGCATATAGTGGCTGATGTCAAGTCCTTAAGAGTCGTAGATAGGGGAGCGGCTTCTAGACGAATATGTCCAAAACCGACTTTACACGAACGATCAAACCGGAAGACGAAACGAGACAGGAGACTGGAGTAGAGTTTGTAATTCGAAGATGCATCGTTGGTTTAATGCATCTAGCCGGGGTGGACTGAGGTTCCTGGTTATGTGGTGAGCTACTGCAAAGCCACCATGCAGTCCAAGCCGATGCGACGACGAGACGGTGTGGTAGTGGTTAAGTGAGTTGTATGGGGGGGGATGATGGACGACGATATGGAGATGGGTGCAGGGGGAAGTCGGAGGCGGAAAGGTGATGGGTTGAGGGGAAGGTGAAGTGAGGTGAGGGTATGCAAGGTGCAGCCAAGTGTGGCTGCGAGGAGAGGTTATATCCAAGCAGGATGGGGTGGTGTGTGACTCTTTTTTCGCCTGTATCTCGAACGTGTTCAGAGGGGCGACTTGGGCTGGCGTGACGAAGTCGGAGGGCCCCTTTGGGTGGCTCAAGTCTTGCTCAAGGCCCAGATTGGGTGTGGACGATGACTCTTTCGGGTTGAGGTGGCGAAGGGGGGTGTACCTGGTTTGTTGCCGCCCAGACAGGTGGCTCCAAGTGGCAGGCAGATATGGGGGAAGGAATAGACCGGAAAGTGCTTGCGGGAGAAGAGTGGTGGCAGCCTAGGGAAGGCCGAGAAGGGGACCCGGGGGGGGGGGCAGGGGTGGCAAGGGTGCGAAAGTGGTCCAGCTGAGTGCGTGATCGCTCTCGGGGGCAAGGAAGAGAGACAAGCCAGGCAGAACTAGCAACAAGATTGCTATTGCTGCGCGCTTCTTGCTTGACTGCCTAGTCTCGCTCGTGTGGTGGATGCTGTGCTGCGCAGAGTGTCTTGTTACTTACCTAGCAGGCAGTGCCGAGTCCCTCCTCGGATGAGAAAGCTCTTGGCGGCTACAGAGGAGTGTGGCGAAGAGAGTGCAGGGTCAGCTGAGTTGACAGAGACACCAGGCTGGAAGATGAGTCGTAATCGTCGTGTGAGTTGTTGTTGTGGCTTTGCCGAGGCAAATGATTAAAAAAGAATGAGTATAAGGGTAAGAGCCGAAATATGGTTGCAGGGTATCGGGATTTTGCAAGACAAGAAGAAATAAGTAACTCTGGGAGATGGGGGTGCGTGGAAACGCTGGTGGGCAGTACAATGTCGATGAGAAAGGGCGGGTTGACTGAATTCAAGTCGGAGTCCGATCTCAAAATATCCCAGCGTGAAAGGAAGTCGAAAGCCTGCTTTGCCTGGCTGCTGGTGATGGTGGAGCTTGAAAACGGGAGTGTAGCCGCAGGCCAAGCCTTTGTTAGTCGCAAGGAACAAGTGAATGCCGCTGCGATGCAAACAAGGGGCCTAGGGATGGCGTGAGGGTTGAACGTGTGGTCGTCGTGTTTGGTGTTGATGGGTTTGTTGCGATGTTGGCGGGATGAGTAACGTGACCGCCCGAGGGAAGGGGGGTAGGCCGAGATGACTCTTTGAGGCGAGAGGGATCCGATGGAATTATGCCACGGGGAGTGGCTGTTGGATGGCGAGAGAGGCGAGGTGTTGCAACAGAACAAACCCCCAAGGTGACAAAGAAATAAGCGGAGGAGTTGGTCTAGAGTCTCGTCCCAGGTGTTCCCGAGATGAGGCACGTCTAGCAGACTTCGGAGAGTCGCTGTCGTACAAATTTAGACCTTGGAATCGAACATGGCGACGGCGATAGTTCGATAGAGCAAGAGGAAAGGGAAGGGGGGAGGACACAAGTGCACGGCAATGTGGGCGCGTCGATAGTTTTGAATGCCTGGAGGAAAGAAACACTCAGAGCAGCTTGACGGTACAGTAGACAGGTACACCACGTTGAACGGCAGGCGAAAAGGTACACGGACAAAAGTATCTCTGTACATTTGGCATTGTCGATTTGGGAAACTGCTGGGGGGGGCCACCAGCACCCACTCCACCTTTCTTCCACTGGACACTGCAGAGTACACGGCAGTATGTACCTACCGCCTTGCTCGGCTTGGCTGAAGGGAAGTAAAGGATGGGATGGGATGGGATGGGAAACTGAGAGGGGAGGGGGAAGAGGTGTGAGGGAGGGATGCTGGAAAGAGGATGCAGCCGGACACCCCAGTGAGTCTCAGCATCCGTCCACTGTCTTTTCTTCGCCTGCAACTTGATTGGTCTGCACTCTGGTGCATTGTGGATCTCCGTCGTCCTCCTTCCCAGGGTACGGGTGAGGGCGACATCGAAACCCAAAAAATAGTCGCGTCTCCACTTTTCCCTTACTCTCAGACTCTCACACGCACTCTCTTTCAGATTCTCAGTGTCCTCCTGCCTCCTCTCGCGCGCAGAATGACTCCTTCCCATGCTTCTCGTCCCTCTTACGGCTGCTGCTGTCGCCATCACTCAAGCTCATCATGTTCATGCTCATGCCCATCGTGGGTCTGCTGCTGCTCATACACTCCTCTCACACACAATTTGCTCTTTGCCTCTTGTCCCTGCCTACTTATCTCTCTTACATTTATATTAATTATATTTATTGTATGTACATCATACACCAAATACTTCGTACGGATGGATACTTCGTACACATCGTATACACATGCCTCGACCCCACCTCTGCTGCCCACCTTGTGTGCCCGTCCAGTGCTGGGTTTCCTTTATCGTGTGCTAATTGCTCGCTCATTCATCAAATGTGCGTCCTACGGCGTACAGATGCCTCATTCGTACCTGTCCTTCCGGGTTCAGTCAGGTGTCGCTGCTTCCATTCCTGCTGTGCCTAAGAGCCTGAGATCGTGCCCAAAATCTCCGACGTTGTCGTTGTCGTCGTCGTCGTCGTCGTCGTTGTCTCCAACCGAATCATATTTCCATTCCGTTCTATGCACCTGGGATCCGGGGGGGGTGGGAAGTCTGTCTGTCTGCCCAGTCTGATGAGTCTTTTCCCAACTTGCATCATCCTCTGCGTCGAGTTTCCACGCTCGCTCCTGCCCAACTTCCTGTCTTTTTTTGGCCATGGCATCTTCCGTGGCCACTTGGCCGCTCTCGTCAAAATTTCCATTCTTATTGGCCGTTTCCACTCGACGCCATTCCATATGAGGCTAGCTTCGCCAAGCCTAAATGACCTGCTCAACCACTCGTGTGCGCCAGCAGTACACCTTTTTGCCGTGGCCCATCCTCTGTAACTTCAGGCAACCTGCACTGCTGAATGGCTGTTTGCTGCTGCCCAGCCCCAAGCCGGCAAGGCAGGAAGGATGCTGCATCTCGAGGGAAGGAACGGTGCCTAGGGAAAGGAAGTGAGAAAAAAGAAGAGTCATCATCCTCTCCCCACCACCTTCCCTTCTGTACCTTGGTCGGGAAAGGGGTGGGGGGCCACGGAATCGCTCTTTTGATGCCAAACATCTGTTCCATCCTATCCAACCATCGTCTTACTGCACCAGCTATTATAGCGCCACTTGTTAAACCATTCTAGCAACCGCCAGGTATCGACACAGATTCAGCAACTGCTCTAGCCAAACCACACCGTGTTTGTTGTGCGAGGTCGAACATGCCATGGCCAAGCCGGTGAAGGGTATCACGAGCCCGGTTGTCGGCATATATCCATTTCCACCGAGACTCCACGCATCGGCGCTTGAAGGGATGGACGTACGACATATCTGGCAGGAATCGACTGACAACAGCTGTTGCCTCGCTCGTGGTCTCGCCACCTGTTGGTCAAGCTTCGCGCTGGAAATTTTCTGCACAACCTTGTGTTCCATCATGCCACCACACCCTCGGGGTTTTGGCGTCAGGAAATCAACCAACCGCGACGCTCCCGATTACCCTAGCTACCTACCTAGAGGTCTACAAGAGATGGCGACACACGCACCCGCCATGCTATTTCTCCTGCGCCAATCACCCCTGCGGCCGAATCTCGATGCTCTACCGTGCCAATTTTACTTGGACTTGACTTCTTGTAACCTTCTACTACGTAATGGCCCCCTTGGGTGTTATCGCTCCTTGAATGTGAACTTGATACCTAGTTGGTGCTCTGTCACCCTCTCTCTCTCCCCGTCTCCCTCGCGCTATTTTAACGCGTCGGCGGTCATGATATCACCCTAATTTCGCTGTTGGACTGGGTTCGTCACCCGGCGGCACTCTCTGCCGAGGTCCCATAGGGTATCCGCAGTTGCATCGATGGGGTCGCCGGACGGGGCCTGGCAATCTCAGAAACCCGTCTCCTGTGCACACCTAACATCGCGTGGCCTAAAAGCCCCTTTTTTTGCTAGCCTGCATACAAGAAGCTCGAGATGCTTACGGCGATTCTCCTATTGCGCGTCTCGGCGCTTCCTTAAACGACAAACGATTGCTCAGCCTCCTCACCCTCTTTGTCAGCCCTTGTCTGAACGTCTCGGAAACAACAGAAAAGTTGCATCCGGTTTGCTTAGCCACACCGTCGCTGTTGTCCAATTGATTTCTACGCATTGTCACTCGGGGTTTCCACACAGCGGCAAGCCTCACGTCGGTTCCTCGCACCACAGCGAGGGTCCGTCGTCGGATCGGTCCTCGCCTGGGGTGCTTCATCATTACCATCATTACCACATCACCATCATTACGCAGCATACGATATCATGCTTAGTGCATATTGCCATACCAACTGACTGCAAAATAGAAGAAGAAAAAGAAAGAAGAAAACACACTTTGATGTAGCGGAAAGGAGTCGATAAATGGGCCATCTCCGGCCTCAACCAGATGGGTCTTTTGGACGCCCAGAGACATTTTAACATGTTACAGGTGGCAGGTCTGGTACACATGTTAAGATCAGAACGCACTGTAAACCCCCCTACGATGCACATCTTCATCTCGCCGAGACGCACTACATACACAATTAATCCAAGCTCCGCGACAATACATCAAAACATGTACCCTGCATCGCGACAGCGCCGTGGTGAAAGCTCGCGGGAGCACAGGGAGTGCTGTGTTTGCCCCGAAGCACCATGCTGACAGACGATATGGGACTAAGAATCAGTGCCAAACTTCCCTTCAGGCGGCTCCTGTGCTCAGGTGAACGGCTCTCATTCGCCTGGCACATACTCTTAGCCTTGTCGAGTGTGATACACCGGATGCGTGTACTGGTTCATCTCGCCCGCCGGACGGTGCTGGGTGCGTCGGCACTCGCAAGACTGACACTGAACTGGTGGAGACGGGCTCACGGGAAACCGACCGCCAGTTTAGACCCTGGCAAGCAGCCGGATCCCTTTTCGATTCGTACTGAGCCTGGAAAGTTTGGCACCACTTACCAAGCAAATGTCGAGCATTCCCCCATGGCAAAAGAGCACAGGGCAGATTTGGCATGCTTCCAAGAGGCCTGTGTTCCCATCCCGATGAATTCTTCAAAGGGCGGGAGTTTCTGGGGGCTGGGGGCTGGGAATGGGAGGCGAAAGGGGGGAGAAGGACGGCCTGCGTGTGCTTGCTTATAAGAAGCTATGCCGTCATCTCTGGCCACTGCCCCCTTGTGCAGTTCGTGCAGGCGTCACTTGGTCTGGCTGCACGCTGCAGGCTGTCTGCAGCTTCACTGGCGTTGCCATGTCACCCACCTTCAGTCTCCTCCATCGCAATCCTTCCCCGCTCTGCCCCGCGGCACACCATCATTGGACACTATCTTTCGTGCAGCAGGCCAACGAAGTCTACGGAGTAGATTGCCATGCGGTGGCAGGGCAGTGACAATCAAGGCGAGATGGAGAGGAGAGGGGCAGACCAACAATGCCGTTAGCCGTCATTGGTCCCTCCCTCTCACCGTTGTCCATCTGAAGTGACATTCGCCCACGGAGGTTAATCCGAGGACGGACTCGTTCGCATACTCATGCGATTCCCACACGTTACCGGTGTAGCGCCTAGGTATGGTGTACACGTACCGGTACTGTGGTGAACATGGACGTCCCTCTTTCAGCGGGCAAGCCTCGCCCATAGCCTCCGCCCTGTTGCCGCTCGCGGCCAATGAACGCCGCTGTACGGATATGGCCGACCGATTTCCGCGATGACTCAACTTGGCCGGCCAGACCCTCAGCCCGTTTCCAGACAGCAATGCTCCATGGGACGGACACGCGCGGGTTGCGGTGCATACGAAGGCTCTGACGGTCCAAGTCTCAGCCGTGGTCACTCGGTGACACGGCAAGGGACTTGGCGAAAGCGCGGAGAGTCGCAAGAAGCCGCAGCCGTGATCTGCCGCGCGGCTGCTGTTCTGTGCGAGTAGGTACACGACTCGCGCAAACGAGCTACGAAAGAAAGTCGGAACCAGTGACGATGGCTCCAAGGCGCGGTGCTAGATATCGGTCGGATTCGCCTGAGTAGCTATTACACAGCAACTTAAAGAAATTTCTGGTGCTACTACGGCCTGGCTGCGACACACCAAAGGCGTCGCCGAGACAATCTCCGGGTTTCTATTGGGACAATCGGCCGGCCCAGACTCACCAGGGGGGCCTCAAGCGCTCCAAAGAGGCATGCTTCGAGAAGATCGCGGATTTCGAGCTGAACACTGAACTGGTAAACTAATACCTACTGCGTATGTCGCATCGGCCGATGATGCTCTTCACGGGAACTACACTCGGTTTCAGCACCGCCCGAGAGCTCAACCGAGCGAGGTGTGCGATACACGCCACCTCTCGCCTCCTCCGTTTAGTATGACTAAGACGCAGCCACTTGGATGCCCTTCCAATACCTTTTGTGACGCTCCGCGGCAAAGACATGGGCATATGAACAAGAGACGCGAATCGTCCCTGCGATGATATCTCGGCAATGTGGCACCATTGAACATTGGCTGCCAAATCAAACAATGGTCATTTGTCAAGGCTTATGTCAACAACAATCACATAGTGTAGTGTACATGGCATTACAATTCGCTCTTGGACCACAATCCGCGACGTGCTGGACTCCATCTCCGTCATCTTTGTTGACCGAGCGAGCCTAGCGGACAGGCTTCAGCCGCCGTTCCGCTAACCAAACTCATTGGGTGGCGCGAGCGAAACCCCTCACTTTGCCTCTCCCTCACGGATAATCTGCCGAGCAGAGCGGTATTCTCGGCGCTTGGGAGGAGGCAATCCCCCCCCCCCCCCCCCCCGAACGAAGCGAGGGTAGGCAGAAGCTGCCCGTCCGCTTGTTCGCTACAAGGGCTCCGGAAGCCTCGGTGATGGAGTAGCCATCGCTGGGGCTGGCGGCATAAACCAGCTAGCGTTCGTCGGTTCGTCGAGACCATCCTTCAGAAGAGCTTGGCGTCGGCGGCGTGAGCGTTGGACCAGACTCTACAGCTGACCGAGAGCTGGAACGTCGAGACATGACAATGGCGCTGCGTGTGACCTTTCAGCTCTCGAGGCCAGGTGTTGGCCGCTACTTACGACTCGGGCGTCCGTCTTCTAAGAATCCCACCCGGCTTCCATTGTCGTTATGCACCGAGGCTCGTGTTCAAAGGATGGGGTTTCGGAGGCCTTTCCGAACGGACCTCCAACTTTTTCGCAATCGTGCTGTGCCCACTCTGCTAGTTGGGCACGTCGATGAGACATGTCTACGGCAGGACATGGGCCGGCCGGATGGCATACAAATCACACCATCAGCAAAAGGGGTCATTCTCGATGACGGATCCCAAATCTATTCCTGCTGACCGCCTTCGCCCACTTGCCATAGTGCCGCAGGCGCACCAAACCCTGGGAGTCCCCAAGTGCAAATCCTGACCCAGGCAGCAGCATGGATTGGAAGTCATCCACGAATGACCCGCCCAAGGCAAATCACCAAGGGAACAGGGTGAAGTTTCATTGGTCCTCTAGTCCGGCGACGTCCTATAGAAACACTCCCGCAGGTCATCACAACCAGGCTACCGGTCCACTAACCTCCCCTCCCCCCCCCCCCCCCCCCCCATCCTGCCTCTCTCCCATTGTTCTGCTCTTCACGCGCAGGCAACTGAAGTGTAGCCTCGCATGAGCTTACGGCGTGAATCCGTGAATCCCATCTCAGATTAGATCTCGCCGGGGGGAGGAATCCCCCGGCTTACTGAGATACTTGGCCTTGAATCTTGGACGTCACAAACCCCTTGGACTGACCAGGTGGGGTAGGTCGTCCACACACGCTGAAGACGAAAGTCCCAAAAGCTTAACCGAGTGGCTGTTGAGGCCCAGCATCGTGACCCGAACATCAGTGTCAAGGCGTGCAGGTAGCAGCGCGCCTACGCAACGAAAGGTCTTCTGGCGGCCTCGGGCAGACATGCGTGGGCGATAACGAGACCGGTACCGGCGATTGATGCCGAGTCGTCAAGGTCTTTTAGTCACCGGTTCGACCACGATTGTCGGCTACTTTATCTGATCACTATCATCATGATAGGTAAATGACTCTTACCGATGCCATTGCGTCCTTATCACCTGCTGGCAGGCGGGGTTTGTGAAAGTCAAAGGGGCAAGGAAACTTGAACGAGCCGAGGACTACGATAGCCACTCTGAACTCTTTTTTATCTGGCTCTGCCCAAACTCGAGTAAGTGAAAACGGAGGGACAGGTGTCAGTCAGTCAGTGTGTAGCCGGTTCCCACTTTGCGCAATCCACGAACCGACCCACGCGACCCCTTTCCGCGCGTGACAGCGTTGGCCCCAGAGCTCATACAAACAACCCATCTTGAACTTTCCAGGGTCGTCCCGCAATTTAGAGTGTTGTATTGGCACCGGTTGGGGAAAGCACTGCCGCAGCGTCAAAAAAGTAAATCGGTCGCGGTATCGCAAAGGTGGCCGGCCGGCCTAGTAATGGGCTTCGGTCCGTCGGAGCGGGCGCACTAGCAGATCATTCTTATTATGGTTATTATTTTTATTCTATTCGTCAGCCTCCTCTATCGTTATAGCGGTGTGGCTGTGTCGGGCTGCGACGATTTGCATGGCCATCTTGGGGTGCCAACGTTATAGAATGACGAACGCAAATGCGGGTGGCTGACAGACATACCGGGCTTGGAACCGGGCAGACTTGGGAGGCTGAACTCCCGGCATTTCACGGCGACATGCCAAGACGTAAGGCTGCTTGGCCACTGGTATGCACCAACTTGGACGACGAGCTCGACCGGCCAAGAAGGAAGGCTGGGTGGCATGCCGGCAGGCATGAGGTAGGCAGTAGGTAGGCCACGAGGCGGATCCACCTCGGGGCGGGCTATGATGGTTGAGAACCCAGATAGATCAAGTTTGAGCGTGTGTGAATCATCGTGATGACGGAAGAGTGGTGTTTGTCTGCCTGGACTTGGCCATGTTGCCAGCCACAACTTGTATGTACTCAGCTGCCTCCCGCTCCCTATGTCGCACGTCACGCGTGTGAGAAGCTTTCCCACTCATCGGCGTGATTACCGATCATCTGGAGGCGAGGACAGATGGAATCAGCAAGGGGGAGTCGGACGCCAGGCACGTTCAGGCTTCGACGACGGCAACATGAATAATCGGGACGAGTTCCCGGCGGAGTCTCGAGACCAGAAGACATCCTTTTTTCCGTTGGATGGCTCATCGACGTGATGACTCCAAGATTCAAGTTCCTGCCTCGCTCGTGTCAGACTGTCACCGGGACATATGATGACTAGGGTTCTATCGACGGGGGCGAGTCTGAGGCCACCGTTGAAGTGTTCGTAGCGAGGACGGCCAGGATCGTAAGATGACGAGGAAGGCGACGGACGGCATGAGTCAGTGCCCGGGTATCGTTGGACCCCACTGCCTCATTTTAAAAGTGGTTTAATGTAAGCTTTTGGCCTGAGGGAGAAATTGACGGCATCGACACCCATAGTCGATGTAGTCAACATCTCTGTCACTTGATCAGCCCGTCCCTGTACAAGCGTCGTAACAGCGGTCACTGTGAACCCCGAGCAGGCCGGCTACACCAGTCTACAAGACCTCTGCTCGGCGAGACGCTCGACATCGACCATGACATGTTCGCCATGGTTGACGCATCATCTCCGGGGCGCGCGTCAGAGGAGGTCCTCCCGCTGCTTTCCGATGATGGGTTCGGCCTCCGGTCACTGCCTCACAGAGCCGTTTGATAACTGATGGCATCTACACACAACGTAAGTACAGTTCGGGCTCTATTTGTCAGGATGAAACGGGTTCGATGGTCAAGAGACAGGAGACCCTCAACACCGAATGACAGTGCCGGGTTCCAAACCCGGCCGACGATAACTCGGCGTCGAGACCTTAGCACCCTGAACGTGAGACGTAGGTCGTAACGAGCAAAGTCACCGTATGCCATTCCGACTTTCCGTTGAATTAGAAATGTACAACCACGTAGGGGAGCTTGCCACGCCACCATGGATTACTAACACGATTCAAATAGATCCGGCACAGAATGTGAATCTCTTCCCATGTTTTCTTCTGTCCAGTGATGTTCTAGTGCCAGGGGTTCATCAAAGTGCTACCCGGGGAGGGACACCAGCCAAGCTATTTCAAATATGCTTCTGCTTATCACTCATTGACAAGGAGAGGGCGTGGTTGGCAATGTCTTCAGCGCATTTTATTTTGGCTAACAAGAACATAGGAAGGGGGGGGCAGGAGGTGATGTCACACCTCCCATCCAAATTTTGTAAGCTACCGCTGAGCGCCAAGAATCCAGAGGACTTGACGAGGCCGTCCCAGGTCATGCCAATGGTCTCGTTATTGCAGGCCATGGACATCGGGCCGCGTTGAAGGTTGTTAGCTGTCGTACATGCCTGGACTCATGTTGTGGAAGAAGTGGCTGCTGTGTTGAAACATACTGCACCGGCATTGCAGTATCTCGCCTGCCATCTCGATGCTGTTAGACCAGACGGCCGTCCGCGACTGTGGTCATTCCATAACGTGGTTCTCAATATGTCACTCTATTTCAAAACGTCAAAACATGTGGTAGATACCCGAGGTAGGTCAATGTGTCATGAGGGCGCGCCGAGTGGTGGCAGCTCTCAAATTGTTTTCATCCTCGAAAACAGTCCCATATATGTCTCTCGAACTCGTCAAGCTCCAAGCGATGGACAGTAGCAGGAAATAGCATACGGTCAATAACGGCAGGGAACCAGAACACGTTGTACGTTGGCTACGATTCTCATAATGCAGAGACCCTCAACTACCAGCGGTCTATTTACATAGTTGGCATGAGTTTTTGCAAAACGTAATGAGACTCAAAGAGCGTGGCTTAATACAGGCCACATGAACTAGAACAACGATACCGGTGGCCCAGTGCTTACTTGCTAAGGCAGTGTCGTTGACATCAAATGAAAACAAGATCGGCATCCTGATGATAGTGGCGCGTATGACAAGTTGTGGCTAGAAGATGACGTGCATGCTTTGGCAAATAGTTAAGCAGCACTATCATGACGCAGACATTGCCGAAAGACTTGAAGCGCCGATATCTGCTACTGTGCGGCATCAGAATAAAGGGGTCAAGCTGTTTTAAGTTGCAATGTATTAAGAATCATCTTCAACAGGGGCACAACATGCGTGTCAATCGAGCCATTGAGCGTGGTGATTCAGTCTTGATTTCCCTGTATAACTACTCTGTACAGATAGCAGAAGGCCTCATTCGAGGCTGTCAAACTTTTCCTCTTTTGCTTGGAGCAGCTCTTATTTCGCTTTTCTGTGCACATGCTTTCCTTGCACATCACACGTCCAAAATTTTGCAATTCCGAGAACCCAAATCAGTGGAAGGACACCGGTAGCGGACGTTCTGCCGAACCGCGGCATAACCCGCTTAAGAGGCCATGTAGGTGCTGGCGTCGATACCCTCCTTGGGGAACTCACTGTCATGATGTTAGGGATGGTCTGGCACAAAAGTCAAGGGGACTACTTACGGAAGAGCGACCTCAAAGCGCTTCTCAATGGACTTAAGAACCTCCTGGTCCTGGTCAGTGCTCACAAAGGAGATGGCAAGACCCTTGGTACCGAAACGACCGGCACGACCGACTCTGTGCAGGTAGGAGTCGGCGTCGGCGGGCAGGTCGTAGTTGATGGCCAGGTTGATGCGCTCAATATCGATACCTCTACCGAAGACATCGGTGGCAACGCAGATGCGCTTGTTGAACTCCTTGAACTCCTTGTAACGGCGGATACGCTCCTCCTGGCTAACGCCGGAGTGGACGGCGATGGAGGGGAAGTTGCACTCTCTCAGCAACTTATCCAGCTCGGTCGCACGCAGAGTGCTCTTGACGAAAATGATGACCTGGTTGAACTGAAGGTCATCCAGGAGCTCGTTGAGCTTGCGGTTCTTCTCGCGCTCCTCGAGCTTGATGTAATACTGCTGAAGACCGTGCAGGGTGAGCTTGGTGTCCTCGTCGACGTAGTGCTCGGTAGGGTTCTGCATAAACTTTCGGCAAATGGGCTTGATCTCGTCGGACAAGGTGGCCGAGAACATCATGACCTGCTTCTGGGTGGGAGTGGCGCGGAAAATCTCCTGTACGTCGCGGCGCATGTCTGATTTCGGGTTAGGAATTGTTGCTGGTGGGAGTGACGCCGTAACTCACCAATCTGATCGAGCATCTTGTCACACTCGTCGAGGACGAAGATGCGGACGCTGCCAAGGCGAAGGACCTTATCGCGAACCAAGGCGTTAAGTCGGCCGGGGGTGCCCACGATGATGTGAGGGCAGGTCTCCTTGTTCTTGATGGTCTCGACATCCTTCTGGATGGGTGTGCCGCCGTAGAAGACGCCAGTCTTGATGTCGGGCATGTACTTGCTGAAGCGGTTGTACTCGTTACGAATCTGGAAGGCGAGCTCACGAGTGTGGCACATAACCAACACGGAAACCTCGCCTTGGACAGGCTCGACTTGTTGAAGGGTGGTCAGGACGAAGACAGCCGTCTTTCCGAGACCGGACTTGGCCTGGCAGATGATGTCTCCACCGAGGAGAGCCTGGGGAATGCAGGTTTGTTGGACTGTTCGATCGCGCCGATGTTAGATAATTGTTCCAAGAGCAGAAGAACGACGTAGAGGGCGTGCAAAGGGCCCGTCCATCTGCGCAAAGAAGCCATTTTGTCGAATCGAGTCGAGTTCCTCCCTCCACAGCAGACACGCCAATCGATCGATCGAAAGTAACAATCGCCGGGGCAGAGCACGAGTCGCGAACAAGCATGGGCGGCGCTATGCGCCCATTTTTGCAGCTCGCGACCGTGATACAAAAGCAGCCGGACCGCTAGGAGGCCAAGCTCTCGTCGCGCAAGTCCGGCTGAAGTGAGCTCGAGAACACGGCAGTGTTCGCGCAGTCGAGGGGCGCCATCACGCTTTCCCCTCAATAACCGCAATGTAATCCACCTGTTACCGGTGGATTCACGAGCAGTGCCCGTACATAGACTTTGGATGTCCAACTTGAACCCCGCCTTCTCGGCACTTTTTCGATAGCGAGTTCGATGGCTTTTGTGTTTTTGCGTGGCTTGCGAGATGGACGGACGCTTGCTGATGGGGGAGGGGATGATGTATGGGTTAGGGTATTATAAACTCAGGACTGACCCTCCGAAGGATGCTCGAAACCGCAATCGCCAATAGCGCGGAGAAGCTCGGGCTTCAAGAGAAAGTCGCGGAAACCGGTCGAGTGGATGCCGACATAGCTGCCCTTCTTGTCGACGTTGTTGCCAGCGGCGGCGGCGTCAGCCTTCTTTCCGTTGGAGGCGGCGGCCGTCTCGTTGGTCTGGAGCTCCTCGTCGGAGTAGTCGATGAGATCCTCCTCAGCAGACATGTTGTCGATGGTTGGGGGTGTCGTTTCTAAAGTGTCGAAGAGAAACCGGCCGCAAGGCTAATGCGCAACAAAGAATAGATCCCAAGACTGTCGATGCGAAGCTTGAGCGATCAGGATACGTCGACGATCAGCGAGTAAGCTGGCCGCGTATTGAAGAAAAGTCGAAGAACAACAATTCAATCGTGGAGGGAAAAAAGCGAAGTCGTGTTCAAAAAGTACACGACAGGCGGGGATTGAAGGAAGATGGCAGTAGTCGCTTGCAGGGTGGGAAGGCGGGATGGGAGGAGGCGCCGTGATTGATGTGGAAGTGGAAGATCCAAGGATGGCTGGCGTAGAACTGGAGGCGAAGGTAAGGCGGGCAGCGCAAGGTCAAAAGCTTTCGCGTGGAAGGCGGCTGAGTCTCCAGGCAACATCATGTGACCAGGACCCGCTTAGTTGAGTCAGTGTCCTCTGAGACCTGTCCGCACTGTGGGTCACGGATGCCGGCGCTAACCTTAATCTCTGTTCTGGAGAAAATAGTACCTGTTTAGACCGGGGACTGCCTTATCCACCACTGCAGAAGTTTGAAAAAACAAAAACCGTTGGCTCTCGTGTCAATACTGACTTCGATGCCTGTCAGTCGATGAAACGGTTCCAACTATAAGGTGGTCAAAATGGCAAAGCCCAAAAGCGAGAGTCTGTCAAATAGACATGCATACACGCGCGTCTCCTACCTGCATCAGGCCGCGGCGTACCTGGCGACTGTGCAGTCACCCACCTCCGACTCAACCACCAACTCATCGCAGCCCGGCCATGCTCCTCACGCCGTCGATCATGAGAGACGCTTGGAGACAAATGAGACAGTTGCCCGACGTTTCGTCTCCGACATTCGAGCCGTCTCGCTCAAGGCTCAGATCCGCCCGAGCCCCTCGCTCAAGCAGATGATGTGCAAGTACTGCGATTCTCTCCTCGTGGAGGGTAAGACGTGCTCTACGACGGTCGAGAACGCGAGCAAGGGCGGCAAGAAGCCCTGGGCCGACGTCATGGTCGCCAAATGCAAGACCTGCGGCAACGTCAAGCGGTTCCCAGTCAGCGCGCCCAGACAAAAGCGGCGACCGTTTCGTGCACAAAAGGCCGTTGAAGGGCAGGATACAACGCCTGCGGTTTCTGAAATGTCGACTGGAGGCGATTGAAGCGGTTGGGTTACAACCGTAGCTATTGCCACCTATTTCCAGTCGAAATCCCACATAATGGCTAACCCTGTACCATACTTGGGGTACTCAACCGCCAGCGGCAGGCCGGAGCCCCTTGTCGCGAGGTCCAGAGTCGAATCTACCAGTCAGCCTCAGACCAGGTGTATTCTCACCCCCTCCCCCTTTTCGAAAAACGAGAGAGCATGGAAATTAACAATGGGCCTAAAGTTCGGCATACAATACGGGGCTCTGGCTTCGAGCAACAGGTTGACGGCTTGTATCCGAAGCAGGTCATGAAGGCCCTTCGCTACCTAAATAGCTGCTTGACAACCGCGCCAAGATTCGTGATCGATGACTGGAGCAAGCCATACCAGTCAAATCAGCACACATGGAGGAGATACTTCTAAGAGCTTGCACTCTCAAAGATGACGGTAATGAACTGTTACATGAGGGAAGTTACAGGTGGCCCATGCAGGGATACCAACCCTCGCAGCTACATGCCAATAGTTTAACAAGGATCCTGAAATGAAACAAATCATAAATTTTCTCTCTTTTGCTATCATATCCCAGTTTTGTCTCTATCAAAACCACAGGTCTTGCACTTAACACACGGCACGGTGAATACCGTCCTCCATTGACCTGACTTCCTTTCCAATCTCCTTGGCTGCGCCCTCTTTCTTCTTGTTTTTCTCATCATCGCCCTTGGCACGCACCCGCCTGCGGCTGTGGTGCTTCTTCAAAGCTTGCAGATCAATCTCGTCATGCTCGATGAGCGTTTCCGTGACCTCGACGATGTCCGTGATCAGGTGTTCGAGCAAGTCAAAGGTCATGGTCTCGCGAACCACCACGCGGAGAATTTCAATCTTCTCCTCGTTGGGCGGAAGCGGGTAGTTGGGAATAATCCAGCCGCGGGCGCGGAGCATGAGTGAGATGGTCTCCTGCTTGATGTGCCGGTACTTGTTCTTAAACTCGTCCGTCAGACCAAAAGAGACGACGGGAAGACCAGCGACGTAATCGGCGGACGTCTCACTCGGACCAGCATTTTCGCCTCCGACAGTGCTAGCTGCCTGCTTGACGATCGACTTGGCGGCATGGCTGGCAGCCTTGTGGGGGGCAGGGTGGTGAATATCGGACATGACAGTGTACCAGCCCGTAGCTTCGAGGCTTTGAGAAAGGAGGCGAGCGTTGGAAAGACAGTTCTCCATGATTGAGCGATAGCCATCGAAGCCTAGGTGGATGAGGTTGTAGTACTGGACAATGACTTGGGCACCCGGGCGGGAAAAGTTTAGGGTGAAGGACTTTTCGGTGCCGCCGAGGTAGTGCAGCTCGAAGATAAGGTCCTCTGGCAGAAAGGACTGGTCACGCCAAATGATCCAGCCGAGGCCGGCGTAGACGAGGCCATACTTGTGGCCAGATACGTTGATCGACTTGACACGAGGAAGCTCGAAGTTCCTGGAATCGTTAACGGAATGAGCGTGACCAGGCTGGCAGAAAATGAGCTTACCACTTGGACCCGCCAACACCAGCATGCGTGAAAGGGGCAATAAAGCCGCCAGACGCAGCGTCGACATGGATGGGGATATCGATGCCCGTCTCTTCCTGATACTTGTCAAGAATCTGAGAGATCTCTTCGACGGGCTCGTAGTGGCCCGTATAAGTGCTGCCGAGGATTACGAAAACGCCAATAGTGTTCTCGTCAACGTTCTCCCTCACCAGGGCGGGGTCGAGACGGTAGTGACTCTTCTTACTGACGGGCAGGATCCGGGCCTCGACATCGAAGTAGCGAGCGAACTTCTCCAAGGCAACCTGCGCATTGGAGCCCATCAGGATGTTGGGCTTCGACGCGTCCTTGCCCTGCTCCTTGCGCTTGATCTGCCATCTCCGCTTCATGGCGAGCCCGCCGAGGTGAATGGCCTCTGACGAGCCGGTGGTTGCGGAGCCAATGGCCTTTTCGCCGGGTTGGACGCCCCAAAGATGCGAGATGATGCTGATACAGCGCTGATGCATATCCATCATGGCAGGGTACTCGTCTGCGTCGGACAAGTTCTTGGACAGGTTCTCCTGCATGAGCTGGGTGGCGTTAGGCTCCATCCAGGTGCCGACGAAACTTGCAAGGCGGGTGTAAGTAGATGTCAAACAACACGAGGATTCCAAGGTGCTTACCTCGCCAGGTTGAGGTTGGGCTTCCCGTCAAGGTCCAGTTCATCCCTGATCATCTGGAAAACGGTGTCTCCCGGGGCGCCTTGTTCGGGAATCTTGTACTTTGGGATGTTTGTTTGGCTGGTGTAGCGACTATCATAGGGTTGGATGTGTGTCGAGGTGGCTTGGCTGAGGGCGCCAGCGTGCCCAGCAGGTGTGATGTGAGCTGCCTGGAGCCGTTGGACGATGTCCTCTGGGTTGACCTGTCAAGATTGTAAGAATCGGGAGTTTGGTGTGTTGAGTGTTGACAGCGTGGGACTCACATGGCTTGAGAGAGGCATGGTGAATGAAAGTTTGATTTGCAAAGACTACCCAAGCAATTGGCACTGGAGAGCGGCTTTCGAACTGGATCCGTATGACTCGAGAATGGGGCAGGCAGGAACGAGACAATGAGAGGAAATGATATTCAAACCAAGGTTGCCAAGACTGGGGAACCGCCAGGTGAGGCTTATATACTCTAGGTAGCTCATGATGACAACAGTTGACATGTGGCGCGGCAGCTAAAGCCAAGATGAGGAATGAATGACGACATATGAGAGGTAAAGCGGAGTGCGGAGGGTTTCCTTTGGTCAAGTCGTTCAGAAACAGCTCCAACTGTAACCAATGCACTCGCTTTAGCCCCAACACGATGGGCGCCACGGGCCGGAGAGGAATCGCGATCGAGAATGACGATTCTAGGCTTCTAGCGCGTCACACTTTCCCGGGTTTCTGCCAAGGCCATGCCCATTGTGGTGCAGCACTTTTTGGTGGGGGAAGACTCGATGCCGACTTTGCCGGTGGAGCTACTCTCTCTTTCTCTCTCTGCGCTGACAAGACAGAGCAGCTGAATGATGAGCCCGAGGGCGATGACTGTACATGCCCGTGTTTCGATTCCCAGCTATGACTTGTCCGAAGCAGGGCTACATGAGCTCTGGCCAGGTGCCGATGTTCAGACGACGGCTCGGCCTTGCCATACATACCGGTAGGTTGATGGTAAGTGACGGCATTGGGGGAGCCGCGATTCTGTGCACTGGAGTCGGGACATGCAACTATAAGCCGGTGGACTCTTTCCGTTTCCCCTCCACTGACGGGCGGGTCCCGTTCCCGTCTTGGCGTACCTACTGTAAGGTACCTGCCTCCAGGCAATGTAACTTTTTATCTCATCTCTGGCGCTAACGTTCCAGTTCCTTCCGCCTCGAACAATAATACACTACTTCAGCTATAAGATAATAGACATACCGTATCCACTCGTTAGATTCGTACACTGCACTGACCATGGGCTGCTGGATAGGGCCTAGCGGGCTGGCAGAAACAGGGATCTAGAAGTGGCAAATGTAGGGGTTAGTCAGCGTCAGCAGCAAGTTTGGTGGAAAGGGTTAGGGTTAGATGGGTGGGTGTGTGGCTAGGCTGGCTGACCGCCTTTTGAAATAGGCCTAGTAGGTGGTCAGTGCAGTGTACGAATCTAACGAGTGGATACGGTAGTTGCCGTAGACAACAGGAGCTATTTTCAGTCCCATCATTAGATAAAATAAGCTCATGATGTCCTAGCTAGAAGATTTGCATCACGGATGTTGAATATTCTCACATCTCTCACGCCGCGCCCCTGTTCCGCAGCTTGTTCTGCTGCGTATCCTCTCTGCCTGACGACTCAAGCGGAATTTCCTCCCCTCCAACCAAAGGCTGCGGCGGTGAGTCCGCCTCCTTCCGGTCGATGCCCAGGACGGCGGCCTTCCTATCACTGCTTAAATGGTGTTCCGAGACGAAAAGGTTCAGCACCGACGCCAAGCCGGCAAACGCGACGTACTGCATTTTTGGATTCAATATATCAGCGCACGCAAACACAAGCGCGACAACGTCTTTTGTTTGGTGACCCACCATGATCCAAACGGTTCTCAGAGCTCTATAGTAAGCCTCCCGCACGGGCAGTTGCTGCTCTTCCGTAAGGAGACCGATGTCCTCGACGTGCGCCGATGCGTTTCCCCCGTCGAACTGGCTGGCCAACTCATGGCCAATCTCGGCAACCAAGCCAGGATTTTCGGCCTTCATCTGATTTTGGAAGACCACTCCACCGACAACAACAGAGGCAGCCGTCAGTATTGACCTCAGAAAGCCCATGGTGGCCACGACGGCAGCTGTGTCACGCACTGTGGTAGCGGCCTGGGCCGCCAGGACGGGCGCTTCTATGTTCAGACCGACACCAACGCCAGTCAGTATCTGGAACACAAAGAGCTTCGTCAGGCTTGTCTCGAACTCGAGGTTGACAAAGAGCCCCGTTCCAAGCGTCAGTAGCACCTGCGCAGCATACATGAGCACCCGGTATCGGCCCGTCCGCTGTATAAAGACGCCGGCGCAGGCCGCCGACAGCGAGCAAGAGACGATCAGGGGGAGCATGTACAGGCCTGAGGTGAGAGCATTTGCGCCAAGAACAGACTGCGAGTACAAAGGCAAGTAGTACGTGATTCCGATGAAGACGAATGAGTTGAAGGCAAAGACGCTATAGGCGGCTGCCTTGGACCAGGTCGAGAGCAGCCGCAGGGGGAGCACGGGGTTGGCGGCGAACTTCCACTCGTTGACGAGGAAGATGCCGATGGCTACGAGGCCAACGACAAGGAGGCAGATGACGGTGGCAGAGGACCAGGGGTAGGTTACATCTCCGAAGTCGAGGGAGAGAAGGACCATGAGAGAACCTCCCATGCACAAAGCGCTGCCAGTCCAGTCGATGGCCTTCAGGCCAGCCCACACCGATGTATCGGGTGATGGCAGATCAAGGAAAAAGAAAAGCACGATAAAGACTAATCCGCCAATAGGTACTTTTGTTTTCAAGTCAGTCAGGCGGTTCAGAAGGGTTTCGGCTACAAATAATTCTTTTGCTCACGATTAATCCAGAAACACCATCTCCAACTATACCAGGCACAAGACAAGTAAGCAAGGTAAACATCTCAAGTTGACAAGCAAAACGATGACTTACTCTAGTCGCGTGGTAAAAATACCACCCAGAATTGGGCCTATTGCACTGCCAATGGCCCAAATAATAGATGTAATGGCAAGGTACAGGCCGCGATCGCGAAGCGAGAACATGTCGCAGATGATGGTATTCACCATGACGCCCATGCCGGAGGCGCCAACACCCTGGATAGCGCGGCCGGCAATCAGAGCATCCATGTGTGGAGCGAGGGCACACAGGAGGCTGCCGACCAGGAAGATGGTCAGGGCCAGCAGGATGATGGGCTTGCGGCCCCATAGGTCCGCAACGGAGCCCCAGACGGGCGTCACGGCCGTGAAGCCGAGGATGAAGGCGGAGCCCACCCAGATGTACCCGGCGACCGACTGGAGAGAGGCCACGATGTTGGGGACGGCCGTGGTCACGATGGTCATGTCCAGCGCGGACAAGGTCGCCGATAAGCAAAGGGATGTCATGGTGAGGGTGATGGTAGTTCCCGAGAGTTTGGGGACCCCGGTGTCGGCACCGCCGCTGCCTGGTGGGAGGTCGGAAAGCCGTCGATGACTTGGACCCGGACCGGCGGCTTCGGTGGCAGATTGTGGTCTGATCTGGCCTTCCTCTGAACGGCAGCACGTTTCGCCTGCAGATTCCGACCACAGACGCGTTTGTGTCCCGAGCTTGTCGCGACCGTCTTCTGCGGGATAGACCGCCGCAAGCGCCGGGGCCATGATCCGATAGGCCTAGTCGGGGACAGGGTCACAAACGATAGAGCAGAACAAAGAGCGGCCAATGAGGGAGCGATGGTGGTGTTTCGTAGGTATTGTGTGTGCGCGTGCGACTATGGAGGGAATATCAGTGATCCAAAAGCAAGAGGAATAGGAGATTGAAGGTCGATTAGTTAATTATTCGACGTTTCTATCCTGCCCTCTCGAGAACTCAAGCAGAGCTGCCACTGCCGTCAGCTCAGTTCTGGCAGCCACTGATTATGGACATGGTACTCCGTAATTGCTGGGCTTACGTCAGCTGGACAGGGACGGACGGCAGACACGTCGCATTGGACGGAATATGTATGCTCAACGCTACGTGCATTTGACTCGCCAAGGGTCCCTTCGCCTCGTCCTGTTGTTTACAAAACTTGAGCGATCAGTGGCAAGCAACTCCCGGATCGGTGACAGGGCCAGACGTGGCCGCCTTTGATGTGCCGATTCCCACGTTTCTTTGGCAGGGAGTGGGAGGCAGCACATCTCAAAGAGGGAACAGCCGCGAATTGTATTATTGCCAGGAGCCAGATCAAGCATCGAGCCACAGAGGCGTCGGATATGAACCAACAGAGTTAGCTTCAGGTATTCCTCGGCCTCGAGCCGTGCTAGAACCGAGAGGTGTGGGCCAAGTTGCCATTGTCCTCCCTCCTCCCTCAGTCACCGTCCTCCCCGACGAACCATTCTTCTCCTCTTGCCTCCTCCACAGCCCCATCGGATATCGCTACCCCGATTTAGGAAGGTCGACAAACGACCGCTGGGCCGGTCCGGTCGCGTCGCTTCAGTGCTTATGTCGTGATAACACGCTAGAGGAGCTGACATCTCCTGCTCCCCTCGAGTCCCGCCCCGAATGACCCCAAGGGCGAACCCACACAAATGGATACGGAAAGTGAAGGTTGAGAGTCCTCGCCTTACACATTATGTTGTTTGTATGTACCATTGGAAACACACATGCTTGCGGATTCTGTGAATCTTGACTCAACTCGAGTTACACACACTCACCGCTGCAAATCTTCTTGGGCCCCAACGGATAGGTAGGGCACAAAAGCCGTCCAAGGGAAGTGGGATAGGTAGTTCTCTCTATCTCTCTCCTGGTCTGGCGGGCTAAGTCTGCCTTGTCACTTTGTCTCGGTAGCCTGCAGACTGCCGACCAGCACCAGCGTCGCCGCCGCCGCCATATTTTTTCGGTTGGTTTAATCCAAAAAGCCCTTGGCACCCGCTGTACCCCCCCAGTCGACCCCCCCCCCCCCGTTGTGGCCTTGGGGCCTTCTTTTGTTCATTTGCTTATCTCGTCGGTCGGTCGCTCTTCAGCCCAGTCGCAATCGGTGCCCCCAAACTCTCACCTTTCAATCTGCTCGGCTGACAGTAGAGCGAAGGAGAGAAGGGTCACCGAGTCCTCACCAGCCGTCATCATGCCGTCCATTTTTCGCAAGCGCGGCGAGCCCGAGGAGATCACGCCCTACCCCGCGCTCGACGACCATGCTGAAGCCACGGGCATCGAGCCGCTGAAGGCTTTGGCTCAGTTCGAGAAGGCGCACAAGCTCGACCCCAACATGCCAATTGACGAGCTCAACGATGTCGATGCAGCCCTCGCCACAGGTAACGCCGAGAAGGGCCTCGAGATCGAGCAGGCCCTTATGGAGGATAACTCGCCCTATCCAGAGGTACGTCGCGAAGGGCTCATCCAAGCATGCCCAACATGCCATGCAGAGAGGAAGGGCAGAAGGAAACACGCAGATGCCAAGTGAGAAAGAAACCCGTCCAGATCGCTGACACGATGCGACGCCGCAACAAAGGTTCGCGCTGTAGTACGCAATTACGACGTCGATCTGCCGGCAAACACGATTCGCGCCTGGGTCATTGGCATGCTGCTCTGCACCGTCGGCTCCGGTGTCAACATGCTCTTCTCACTGCGCAACCCTAGTGTTACCATCACGACCTACGTCGTCCAGCTCATCTCCTACCCCATGGGCTTGGGTTGGGATCTGATCATGCCGGATAAGGAGCAGAATTTGTTTGGCATCAAGTTCAACCTCAAGCCCGGCCGTTTCAACTACAAGGAGCACGTTATCATCGTTGCCATGTCCAATGTAAGTTCGATCCGGTGGGGTTCTACGAGCTCAGGCCAAGATGTCGAGGCCGCGGCGCCAAGGTGGCCCGGTGGTTCAAAGGCGGAACTAATTTTTTTCTAAGGCCGCGTATGGAGGTGGTGTTTTGTATGCGACGGATGTTCTACTTGCCCAGCAGCTCTTCTACAAGCAGCATTTTGGTTGGGCCTTCCAATTGCTTTTCGGCGTCACCACTCTCTGCACCGGATACGGCCTGGCCGGACTGGCACGACGCTTTCTCGTCTGGCCCTCGGCCATGATTTGGCCCTCGAACCTGGTCAACTGTGCGCTGTTCTATACCCTTCACGACCACTCCGGCTCGGACCCGACCAAGACCAACGGATGGAAGATTGGTCGCTACCGCTGGTTCCTCATCGTCAGCAGCGGTGCCTTCATCTGGTACTGGTTCCCTGGGTGGATCTTCCAGGGCCTCTCGTACTTCACCTGGATCTGCTGGATCGCGCCCAAGAACGAGGTTGTCAACAAGGTCTTTGGCGGCCTCTCGGGTTACGGACTCATGCCCATCTCATTCGACTGGACCGTCATCTCTGGCTATCTTACATCCCCACTCATCCCGCCCTTCCACGCCATCGCCAACGTCATTGCTGGCATCATCATCTTCTTCGTCATTGTCTCTTCCGGCATTCATTTCTCCGGCACGTGGTATTCTGATTATTTCCCCGTGCAGAGCTCCGACTCGTTCGACAACACCGGCGCTGTCTACAACGTCAGTCGCATCCTCGATGCCAATCTGCAGTTTAACGAAACTGCCTACAACGACTATTCGCCGCTCTATCTGCCGACGCAGTTTGCTCTCGCCTATGCTCTGTCTTTTGCCGCCGTCACCGCCGTTGTCGTTCACGTCGTTCTGTACCATGGCACGGAGATCTGGGGTCAGTTCAAGCTTGCCCGTCACCAGGAGGACGATGTGCACATGCGTTTGATGAAGAAGTACCGCGATGCTGAGGATTGGTGGTACCTCGGTAGGCAATCCCTGCAAAAAACGTCCCTTTTCTTGGCTAACATGGGCACATAGCGCTCTTCGTCGTCATGGTCGGTATCTCGTTTGGTGTTGTTGCCGGCTGGCCAACCGGATTCCCAGCCTGGGCCTACGTCGTCTGCATCCTGATTCCAATCGTCTGGCTCATCCCCATTGGCATCATCCAGGCCATTACCAACATTCAACTCGGCCTCAACGTTCTGACCGAGTTCATCATTGGTTACATGGTGCCTGGCCGACCCCTTGCCATGATGATGTTCAAGAACTACGGCTACATCTGCATGTCGCAGGCGCTCTATTTCGCCCAGGATCTCAAACTGGGCCACTACATGAAGGTGCCGCCGCGTACCATGTTCGCATCCCAGCTCGTCGCCTCGCTCTGGTCAGCCGTTGTCCAGATTGCCGTCATGAACTGGGCCCTTGGCCACATCCCCGATGTGTGCCAGCCCGACCAGCCCAACAGCTACACCTGCCCCGGCGGGCGAGTTTTCTTCACGGCGTCGATTATTTGGGGTGCCATTGGCCCGGCTCGCATCTTTTCCGGGCAGGCCCTGTACGCATCCCTACAGTGGTTCTGGCTCGTCGGCGCCGTCACCCCGGTCATCACCTGGTTCCTCGCTCGCAAGTGGCCCAAGAGCATTTGGCGCTATGTCAACACGCCGCTCCTCTACGGCGGTTCCGGCTGGTTGCCCCCTGCCAGCGTCTACATCTACCTGTGCTGGGCCCTTGTCGGCACCGTCTTCAACTTCTTCATCAAGCGTCGCTACACTGGCTGGTGGCTGCAGTACAACTACATTACTTCGGCGGCCCTGGACTGCGGACTCATCGTGGCCACGCTCATCATTTTCTTTACGCTGTACCTCACCTCGGCTAGGCCACCTCAGTGGTGGGGCAACGTTGACGTCTTCCAGACTATGGACTGGGAGGGCACCGCCATCAGGACGCATGTGGCATCCGGCGAGACCATCGGGCCCAGCCGTTGGCCATGAGGCTGGCGGAAATTAGAAGGACCAAGGAGCATTTTAATGATGATCAATTTGATAAGGTTATAGGAGTTGGGTGGCTTCTTCAATATGTACGTACCATGGTTTGACGGCCTATTGGTCGTGGGGAGTCTTTGGGTATTTAGCTCTGACGAGAGGCTTGTCTTCACTGCGGATGATACCTCGACGCGAATCCGACTGCAAATTTAATCGCGAGTAACAATCGACGATCGAAGAGGAGCTTTCGTTTGGGTTCCGTCTCCAGAAACCATGCGAGCCTGTGCAAACTCTTGCTAGATGACTGGCGCTTGCCTCAGTAGCTACTCCCCGGCGCTGCTAGTTCAAGTCACGAAGGTGCCTTCCTCGGAGCAGTGTCATACACGCTCCTGCCCGTATTGACCTTATGTACGTGACTGTATTTATGGGCAGGTCCGCAAAGTACCTTTCACTCAGAGATACAGGATCCTTCGTTGGTCGTCATTGATCTTCGCAACTTCGCAGACCCCAGCCTTGTAGTTCTTTTACTCACTCGTTCCATCATCCCATATCTTTCTGATCCAAAGCCCCAAAACCCCCTATATACATCTCCGTGTGCCGTACGATCCTCTTACAGGCGCTTCTCTTGCGTCAACACCCTGCAATTGAAGAAAGCCTCACACCGCCCTCAAGTGCTACCTGAAAGAGGGGGTGGGAGTAATCGCGACAAGAATAATACTGAGAGAGGCAATACGAAAGACGAGAAGATGTTTGACTCATACATCAGTGTGCCGACGCACATTTACGACGACGAGAAAGACCTAGGCGACATAGACGAACTGGCTGAGGACATACGCCACAGCAAAGAATCCCTGAGGAGGCTGGTATCTCGCCAAGCCTCGCGCGCAACACGGGCATCGCGGGCATCAATCGAGTCTCGAGGGCCCCTCTCGTCCAACGAAGACCTCGACCTACATGTTGACCTCCCCCCGGGAATACTGGCGGACGAATCGGCTGCCTCGTCGCGACCACCTGGGCATCCATCCGGCAAGGCGACTCGGAAGAAGAAACGTAGCTCAACGACCCCCCGGTCTGAACTCAAGGCGGAACGTGATGCCGGAGTTCAACCGGCGAAGCGGAGGCGAGGCTTCCGTGCAGCAGTTCGACGATTCTTCGGCCTGGGCGATAAACCCGAGGCTCTTACCGACGCGCCGTACGGAAAACCTGAGATTCGCGTACCTCGAAAACGCGACCATCGGGACAGGGGAAAGAAACGTGACCATCGGGACAATGGCCTGCGGAAATCCACCAAGAAGAAAGCCGCGCCAGAGCGGAGTACTGATCATGCCGAAACTGAGTCGTCTTCCTCAAAGGAGCCCGCGCTTCCCCCTGGCACCGATTTCCCCCAAAAATGATACTGCTACTTGATGGTGTCATGATTGGCCTTCATAAGGAAATTCGCAGTGGGGTAGGCTTTCTTAATCCCCATCCCTTTATGGCATGTTTGCTGACCGTCTTCAATAGCGATCAATGTGACTGGAGTGGAGGGGGTAAGAGTGAATCGGCCTAGGAATTGAGACGGCTTGATACTCTTACGAAGTACCTATGGGTCCACGTGGCGTGGCAGGGCAAAGCCGGCTTGACTTGTTCGTAAAATCCTGCACTCAAGAGCATTCTAGAGGAGGCGTTGACAGGCGTACAAGGTCCTCAGTCATTTTCAGCAGCTCAGGTTTGAGAAGGGCTGGTCCAGCAACAGCATCGGTTGAATGACCTCTCTTGATACACCTTACTCGAATCCTAATACAGATCCTCATTCCATTCCTACTTATTGCTATGGGACGCTATGCGATTAAAATTCATGCTTGCTCAACTTCCGCCACACTCGCCAAATGATTGTTCGCATCCATGTAGTGCTGAAAACCACGGAAATATGTCGCCAATGAGAAGGTCTCGCATTGCGAGACACGCGCCGCCGACGTTCCCAAAGCCGAGATCACACCCATAGTGAGGCTGCGTCTCCGCCTCCATGACAAAGACTACGGGAGGCCTCGGTCGCCGATTGCAATTTCGATATTCGAAGTGAAAGATGCCGAAGACTCCCTTCCATGACTGATCAAGACACCATCCTAACCGCGGCGGCTCCAGGCCCAGTGGAGACCGGAAGCTTCTGTATAAAGATTTTGCCCCTTTCGAACCATTGCCGGTCATCCTACTGACTCGTTGGGGGCGTCCCTCATCTATCAAGGGAACGAGGACGTCTGACCTGAGCCGCCGAACGTCATCCCAGGAAAGGGGCCCAGGTCAGTCCAGTCCCAGCCAGCTGGCCAGGAGGTTTCACCTCTCACCTCTGCAGTCTCCCAGATCCAATGCCCATAAGGATCTCATTGTTTGGACTGACGCAAAAGTTCCGCAAGACAATGGGGGGGGGGGTATCTGAGTCGTCCCAGTCAAGACTTGCCAGCTCCCTTGCTCAACAAATACCAGCGATGGCATAATAGCACGTGTCTTACTTTTTATTTTCCAAATCTTTCCAAAGCGGGTACGATCGTATGACAACATAGCAGTCGCAAAAATGAACTGTCAAAGCGGGAAGGGGCAAGAAGAAAAAGGACTAAGAAAGGGGGGAAAAGCAACAATGAAAGGAGAGATGCCGTTCTTCGCCTCTGCATCGCTCTCGGCACCCCCTTTGGTCTCCCCTTGGGGTGAGAAAAGTAACACAAAAAAAGGCACTGAGACAGGGTTGAGTCAGTTATGGGCAAATGGAAAAAAAAAAAAAAAAGTCTAGGACAATCTCGCAATCTTTGACTCTTTTCGGGGGCAAGCATAATGATAAGGTCTGAGAGTGCTGTCCTTTTTTCTTCGTATAAAGCCGAGGGCGAAGAAGCACAAGAAGAAAAAAAAAGTTGAGTAAAGGGTAGGCTCCCAAAGCGAAGCTCCTCTGACTCTGCCTTCACACCCACACCCACATACGTATACTTGTTCGCCCGTGTCATTTCGGGGAAGGGGAAAGAAAGCGTGCCATCGTCGGAAGAGAGAGAAGTCTGCGAAGGGAAGAAAAAAAAAACCAAGAAATTCTAACCACTTCAGACCATGTCATTCAGAAGAAGACCCGGCAACAACACAAGACACTTTGACGCGGTTTCTAGTCACGGGCCAGCTTATCTACCGCCGCGACCGCGCTGAAAAAGGGGGAGCCCATCTTGCTGCCCTCGCCCCCCCCCCCCCCCCCCGGGGAGCAATAACAAGAAAGCGAAACAAAACCTACATCGCCATCACCAGACTACTGCGGTTGTTGTACCGACGATCGGAATCGAAAAACCATAAACCCACCCCCAGGAGGAGTCGCCAGACGGCCAACCTGCCACACAACCGTCCCGGCGTCCGCCCCTAACCCGGAGGTCGGGGCACAATGGGCCGAAGCGGCTACGACACGACGGGCCTGGGGGGCTTCGTACGGCGTAACCCGCGCCCTGCCGGCTGCAGTAAGGCCGAGGAAGGGGGCCAGAAGGGCGGGACGAGCGCCGTGGTCGGACAGGAGCGGACGTTGCAGACGCAGAAGTCTCACGCGGCGGCGGCGGGATCGGCCTCAGCTTCGGTCAAGAACAGGGGTGGAGGTGCGGCACCGCCGAAGAAGTGAACGGCGGGAGCCCCGGGCCTGTCTGGGAACTGGTCTGTAAGTGCATTCTCGATCGGTAAGGTATGTTTCGTTGCCTGTGAGGGCCGGAGGGAAAAGCCGGAACACGAGTGCGCAGCAGCCGGGCTGACCGTTCGCAGCGGTAGACGGTACCGGTCGAATGGGCCCCTTCCAAGTGAGGAGAGCGCCCGAGATGTGGCGCCTTGGTGTGGGGGGGTTTTTTTTCTTTCTTTCTTTCTGGGAGAGAACCGAACGAATTGTGTGAGCTGACGATGTGCTGGATAGGCCACTGCGAGCGAATCAACGTTCTGCCGGTCGTAACGAAGAAAGGGTGGGGGGGCTTGGTTCGAGCCTTTAGCTCAGCGATGGTGCCAGTGTCCCTTTGGTCAGCCCGCCTGTTCAGGTACACGATATAACCGATGTGTTGGACAACCCGGGCCGAAGACCTCGCGGCGCCAGTTAGGTCCTTCTGGATCCATATAAGGGATTTGAGGTCGCGGTTTGGCGGGTCTCTACACGGCGAAGAGGAGCACCAGCATGTACACACCCCGCCGAATCGTCACAAGAACGGTCGGCAAGCGGAAATGGGGTCGGAGAAGATGCCATCGGCACAAGCCGTGTTGAGGCACGTGGGTCCTGATCATAATAATCAAATAGAATAAAAAGTCTATACAAAGTCTCTTTACATACAAAATCGCTACGTGTCGACCTCAAAGGTACGGACGCTCGGTCGGAAAACGGGGGTATCGCACTAGGTAAGAGGAAAAAACGCAAAATAAAATATCATGGCATCATCCAGCCCCGGATCGTCCTCAGCTGTACTGGGGCGGGTGCTGCGGGGGCGCGGTGTTGGAAGGCGGCTGCGGCAGGTAGTATTCCGCCGCGGCGCCGGCCTGCCCCGTTGCCGGAGCCGGGGCTGGAGCTGGAGCAGTGGTCGAGCCGGACGCCGCCGAAGGGGCGCTCGGCGGCACAGGTGACTGCGAGCGGTAGGGCGCGTAGCCCATGGGCTCGTACTTGCTTTCCGAGGGGTTGCTGTTGGTGTTGCCTGCTGCGGCGCCGGCGTACCAGGAGTCCCTGTTGCTGCCGTCGTCGGCCCTGCCCTCTTCAATCTTGGCGTAGACGCCCCCGCGGGCACCGGACTCATTCTTTCCGGACTTGCTCTTCCTGTGGGCGGCGAATTTCTTGTAGAGGAAAACGGGTACCCAGAGACCCGTCGAAACGAGGAGGGCATGACCGACGACGTGGCCGAAACGGAATTTCTGGCCTTGCTTTTTGCGTTTGAGCTCTGGGTGGCATGTTAGTTGGTCGTGCTGGGTACCCACCTTGGCAGAACCATCGCGGCAGATGCCAGAGGCTAACAAACAAGGGAAACTCACCCTGAACCAAGTAGTATACGAAAGCAATGAGGAACAGAATGAACCAGACAATCAGGACGATGATGAGTACCCGGGCCCAGACGGGGAGCGTGCCGAGGCCGCCTCCACCACCGCTTCCACCACCGCCGGCGACAATGTGACCGCCCTTGGACTTGTTTTTGCTTGTTTTGGATTTTGATTTTGATTTTGAGGATTTGCCGCTACTGCTGCTACCCCGGCCGCCGCCGCCGCCTTTAGGGACGCGGGATTCGAGGATGAAGTCCATCAATTGTTATGCGCGGGTGTGTAAGGGTTGAAGGAGGCAATGGGTAGTTTAGTGATCAACGGGGTTCTTGAAATGAAACTGCGATGGGTTTAAATCGTTGTTACTCCAGAGCACCAGATGAGAGATATATGAGATGGTGGATCGAGCAGGTCTCCAGGGTCGAGGAGGGGGAAGGCAGGCTGCCAAGTGCTTAAGTATCAAAAGAACGATGGGCCGGTAGGTAAGACGGCGTTCTGCTAGGGTAGTCTCTTGCAGGCCTGACGAGAGACACCCAGAGGGCCCAGTTCGTCGACCTTGACCCGTTGGTTTCTTTTCGTCGGCAGCCAGAGAAAGGCATCAGGGGCGGGAGCAAAACTGCATACTGACTTCACTTGCGCAAATCAGCCCTTCAAAAAAGGTGAGAAATCGCCCCGGATGCAGCTTGGCGACACAAGGCACCACGCCAAGAACGCTGGGGGGACGAGCTCATCAGTTCCTATTCCGGTAGGATGAGGTAGACAAAGTGCTCACCTAGAGAGCACAGAATAGGCTGAAGGATCCTGCGGGCTGATGATGGGGTCAGAGAAATGGTCGAGGACCCTGTAGGGTTGTCTTGGCATACCTCAGCCATCTAAGATGTTATTCGTCCGTTTGCGCCGCAGCAGAGGGGATAGCAATCCTACTCCTAGTCCGAGATATTATGAGATGTCGAAGAAGGGGGGACCGTTGGAGAGATGGGCCACATTGGTTCGGGGGAAGAGTGTCGTGTTGTAAGTTTACCGCCTTCCATATTTCCGTTTTCTCAGACTTGGCGCTGTTGACGTTGTGAAGAAGGAAAAATCGAAGAACATCATGCATAGATGCGGCGCTAATTGCTCCTCAAGGATTGAAGCTGGGGTGATGTTGCAGCTGGCTGGGCAGTGCTTGTTAGTGCATGTTGGTGAGGATGATGGGCCCTGTGATGACCCAGTGGGGCTTCTCTAGGCAGCTTCGGACCTGGTCCCAGCAGACAGGTTCCCCGCTATGCAGGCCTGCTGCCTCCCAGAAGCTTAATTTTTCCTCTGCTTGATTGATTGTCCAAACAGTATCTTTGTTATTCGACAACTACCTATTTCCACTTCCAGGCAGCCATAATCTTCATCCTCGGCACCGGAGTGCTCGACAGAGCGGTGTCCATCGCGATTCGGACTTTGCAACTTCTTCGGGCTTCTGGGCAGGATGTGGCCGGCTGTTTGCTCGCCCCACGAACGCTGACCGACGACGATCCAGGCACTTTGCCATCCACTCAGAGTATCGAAGAGGGAAGGTGAAGGCGATGTGATCATTGCGACCGGCAGTGTTACTGTCAGCCCTCTTCTGCTCGATGCCGTCATCACCCTCATTTCTGGCCCAAGACATGTTCCGTCGAGCTTCCCTTTCGACAGACGTAGCTTGGCAGACATCAAGCTCGCCATCGACTGCACACCCTCCTGGAATCGGTGACAGGAAACAGGCACTGCGACAAGGACCCTGCATTACGTCCGGTGCACACCCGTCCCCGTGCAGCCTGGTTCAACGTCGCGCTCAACATTGAGATGGAACCATGTTACGGCGGTACCAATTTCGACCTCGCATGCTTTACCGGTCAGCGATGCTGCGCGGTTGGAACTGTGGCAGTGCTGCTTCTTGGCGAGGCATTCACCTCCAGCGTTGGTCTTAGACGCCGGTAAGCGTCGGCGTTTCCGATGAAATTGTTCCAGATCCACCGCCTCGACCTGTCTGTCTCCATGCAATGGTATTTTCGTCTGGTTCTTGCCACGTGCGGCGTGTCAACACGATTGAAATTTGCTAACTAAGTTTGGTTGTGGTGCTGGATAGCCCAGAGATGACGGAAACGGTTTCCATCAAACGCAGCATGCCCTCGTCTATCCGTGAGCTCGTCTCAATTGAGGCTCAACGGGTCGATTCGGGATCCTTGTTGAACAAAAGTCACAATGGAGGCAGCGAACAAAAGTAACCCAAGAAGACATGGATGGCCGGCAGACAAATGCAACCACGCTCCCCGCAGGGCCATGCTTGACCTGTTGGCTTTCTGAAATACATCACCTTCGGCTCGTTTGTTTCAAATCGTTGTCATAAAGACACTATGATAGAGGGCGCCGATTCTCATGGGCACATTCAGGCTTGTGACTGACGCAAACATAGAGTTGTGTACGATATTATCCTGGAGTCCAGTACTTGTTCGAGATTATCGAGATATACCGGGAGTACGGGCCTGTCGTGGAGGGTCGAAGCCCTTCATACCGTAGCTGTATACCGAGCCCAATCGACCTCGGAAGAGTTTCACGCTCAGCACGCAGTAGATTGCTGAACTCTTCTGAAAATATGCTGATGATTGATCAAGCTGGCAGCCGGCAAGCTTTCGTAGGCTCGGTGTCAATCTACTGGGCAGGCGCGCGGAAGAAAGCTCATAAACAGCCATCAATGCGTACGCCTTGCTCGGATGAAGCTCCAGTGCGGCATATAGCCTGCATCGGCCAGTAAGCTTACAAGACTTGCAGTCGAGGACGATACTCTTGGGAAGCATATCATTGACAATATTCTCACGAGCACCTCCCCAGGCCTGATGATCAGCACATGATATGAACCCTCAAGCTGGCCAAAACATTCCTCGACACGTTCTCGGACCGTCTCGGGATGATGCCCACGCAGGCGGAGCTGTGTCCCATGTTCACGAGACTGCTTCAATCATGGGTTGGAGCGGTATCGTGGACAGCAGCGGCAATGTTGTTTAATGGCATGGGGATGTTGGGGTATCAAAATTTTCGAGACGTCAGTCAGACTGTGAGATGGCGGCGGATTGCTTCATCTCCATCCTATACAAGGCGTATTCCGGACAACGGGGTTTGTTCTGTTGTCTAAGGCTCGCGTGGCTAATGACATTTAATAATCCAACATCATCCCACCTCGCCTTTGACAATCTTGATGATGCGGCTGACGGACTGCGGGCGTCCCATTTGTGATTCGTCCCGTTGGTGGTGGCAGACCCAAGTTGGGCTGTACTGGCTTTGTTCATAGTCTACTATACGCAGTAGAGTTTTGGCGTCGGTTGGGTAGGACAAAGGTCTTGGCTGGCTGCTCACCTTCTCCGGCGTCCGGACCTGGAAGTGGTCCGAAATGCTGACGGTACATCCCCCCCAATCTGATGTGAGGTGAGACGACACAGCAGCAGCGAGTCAATCGGATGTCACCAAATTGGAATCCCTCATCAGCCAAAAAAAAAAAAAAACGAATGCAAAGTTCGGATGATTTCTAGTGGGCTATTCAAAGAAAATGAGGATCGAAGCACGACTCGGCTTATTCAAGCCTTGTCGTCCAATGGAAAGGCCAAGTATACCTACTATGCAGGTAGACTCCGAAGGCCCGGTCCCGCGTAAGATATTGGAGCGGGCGGGGCGGACGGACGGCGTTGGGCGTCGTCCGTCCGATGTTAGTGTCACCAATACAGTGCTCTGAGTGGCCGGGCATTGGCTTTTAGTGTACCCCAGTGGACTGCCCGTGGTGGGGCCTCCCCTCGGCGCGAGCCCCTGGGCCTGAAACAATCGGACTGGACATCGCATTTCAAGGAACAAGGGGACTTGATTTGGGAAGAGCACGTTTCTGCAAGTGACGGCTATGACAGCGGAGCTTGGACGTTCCACGTAGCCTATTTCGTTTCTTGTTGCACTTGTTCCCTGGCTGAGTATACCTTTACACATTTGCCTCCTTGTTGTCTCTCGGACGATTTCTTTACCCTTTCACTCGCATTTCTTTCTCTCTCTCTCTCTCTCTCTCTCTCTTCCTCATCTACTGCTATCTTGCTTGCGGATGCTGTCGTGGTAGCTGTACTTTTCTTTTCTCCTTCTCCAATATCTCTTATCATCCCACCCCACGTTCATTTTCAAGATCTATTATTATACCACAACTATTATCCCCGCGCCTCACATTTGTGGTTCCCCATCTGGACCTTCCTCGCGGACCGACCTTTCTTCTCTCTCCATAAACCACTCGATACCCCAGCGCAAGTCCGCAACCATGGCAGCAGCAGTGGCGGCGCCGGCCTCGCCGGCAGTCGACCCCTCGACGCGCAAACGCGTCCTCAGAGTCATCGCTATCTCCCTCCTCCTTGACCTGGTATAGTTTGACCTCTCCGCCACCCGCCCAGCGCCTCATGGCTTCAACACTGACAATGCTCTTCGCCAGATATCCTTCACCTTCATCCTCCCCCTGTTCCCGAAGCTCCTCGAGTTCTACCGTGATCGCGAAGTCGGCCCCGCCATTGCCGATGCGACCGGCCCCGCGACCCTCCTGCAGTCCGTCTTCTCGGGCCTGAACCGCTACAAGGCCGCCTTCGCCCGCCCCATTGACTCGCGCTACGACATCGTCCTCCTCGGCGGCGCCCTCGGCTCTCTCTTCAGCTTGCTGCAGGCCGTCGCCTCCCCGCTTATCGGCCACCTCTCGGACCGCCACGGCCGCCGCACTGCCCTGCTGGCCTCCATGTGTGGCAACATTCTCTCCGTGCTCCTGTGGGTAGTTGCCGTCGACTTCCGCACCTTTGTCGCCTCGCGCGTTGTCGGCGGCCTGTCCGAGGGCAACGTTCAACTTGCGACGGCCATGGCGACCGATATCTCGGACGAGCAGAGTAGGGGATCGACCATGGCCCTCATCGGCGCGTGCTTCTCCATCGCCTTCACCTTTGGCCCCGGCCTGGGCGCCTGGCTGAGCACAATCACCACCGTCAAGGAGAACCCCTTCGCCACCGCTGCCGGCTTCAGCCTGTTCCTCATCCTGACCGAGACCATCTACCTGTACTTCTGCCTTCCTGAGACCCTCCCCGCGTTGACCGGCAAGGGCCGCGCCGCCACCGCCGCCTCCAAGGAGGAGGAGAAGAAGAAGCCGACAACAGCTTCGACCCCGCTGCTGCGAACCAACTCCCACTTCCTTCTCAACGCTGTCCACTTCGTCTTCCTGCTCTTCTTCTCCGGCATGGAGTCCTCGCTGTCCTTCATGACCTACGAGCTCTTCGCCTTCGGCTCGGCCAAAAACGGCCGCCTCCTCGGCTTCGTTGGCCTCGTCGCCTCGATCCTGCAGGGCGGCGTCACACGCCGCCTCCCGCCCCTGCTCTCCGTGCGCGTCGGCGTCGTGGCGTGCCTAATGTCCTTCGTCCTCCTGGGCCGCATCACAACCACCTCGGGCCTGTACGCCGCGGCGACGTGCCTGGCCATCACCTCGGCGACCGTTGTCACGGGCCTGAACGCGCTCAGCAGCTTCGAGGCCGCCGAGGGCGAGCGTGGCGGCAAGCTCGGCATCCTCCGCAGCTGGGGCCAGCTCGGTCGTGGACTGGGGCCTATCCTCTTCACCAGCGTCTACTGGTGGGCCGGCCGCGAGGTCGCCTACACCATGGGCGCCACGGGTATGGCTGTCGTGGCCGCCGCGGTGTTCGCCGGCCTGAAGTCGCCGCCCGCCTCGTTAAAGAAGAAGGTTCCCACCGAAAAGAAGGCCGCGTAAAAGAGGTGTGTGACTTGTACAGGGAGAGGGTTTGGTTGTAAAATACAATGTTGGAGAGGCGGTTCCTTGTGTATCGATAACTCCATATACTGTACATGTACTCGGTGGAAGGAACGCATATACTCAGGAGTATGGTGCAGGATGATGTATTACACTCCTAGAGTTTTGCATGGCATTACTGTTTACATTGACTCGAGATGTGCCTTGTGTGACCGCCATCCACCGCCTGTTTCGATATGTTCTCGACCATAACCATTGACCTATACTAGTCTTCCATGGTCCACCCGTAAGTAAGTCTCTTGCATTGTTACGCCTTGGCTAGAAAGAACCAACACAAATGTGTATTTCTATTCACTTGCCCTGAACGTGATAGCAGATTGGTGGAGTGGAACTGGGTCTCTGAGTATAACTCCTGGCGCTCTCATGGCAGAGCATCATCCCATGCATGGACATGCTAGTTTGCAGCTAGGTAGTTTCGGACACCAGAGATTACTCTGCCTTTTCTCAACCACGTCGACAGTGCTTGCCTGGCTTGGCCTGATAAAAGGCGTATATAAACACCCTTTATGTCTTGTTGCGGAGTTTGCCTAGGTCCAGGCTTGCAACGCTTGTTCCTAGCTGGTTGGAGAGCTGGTATATGTAGGAGTGGTGTTAGGGGGGATGATTGTCGGCCAGCGAACCAGATACGCCGCCCGCATCATACTCACCTGCTCCTGCCCACCCAACCTCACATCTTCCATTCCGTCTTAACACAGTCTTGCCGTCCCTCCCGTCCAACAAACAAAGCCAGCAGATCACATGGTCTAACGGTTCAGCAGCCGGCGTGGAGCAATAGTAGCTTATTGGCCTCCTATTCTGGGTTCAGCCAAAGGTTGCGGGTGCAAGTCCCGTCGTCGGTATACTTTTTTTTCTTCTTCTTTCTTCCTTTCCTTTATTTTCTTCTTCTTATTTTCACTCCCTTTCTTTTGTTCCAGCCATCTTGGTTCTAATATTTGTTTGGAGTACAACAAAGCCCTTCAACATGACTGTCTTTAGGGGGCTCTGAGGCGGACTGGTTTCTTGTTGCTCTCGGTCCAACAGGGCAGGAGTAAGGCAGAAGGAGGGATGGGCAAACGGCAACCGAGATGCAGGTACCCGAGCACCTGCCTTGGCTTGGTTTAACAGAAATGCCACAGCAAACTATGCCAGCTTCTGGGTCTCTTCCCTAGTACGGTTGTCCCCACGTCGTCTTTTCCACTGGTCAAATTTGTTTGCCAGAAGGTGACGCCATCACTACCTTCAACAGTGACGACGAGCCTCTTGCTGGCCGTATACTTCACCTGCCATCACAGTTCAAACCCCCGAGGGTGTTTCGCAAGAAGCCAAGTAGTACGTTGACGGTCACAAGACTGGCAAATATTGATGGATCATCTACTAACATCAATGAGTCTAGTTTACGAAGGAATGCTCGGGAGGCGGAAGATATGTCCCGTTTGTAGTACCTTGCACCCGGCACCCGAGCGAAAGCTATCAAAACGACCAGCTACCCGGGGTTCTTGCTTCTTGCTTAGGGCTAGGCATCGTGCCCGTCATTGCCAGCCGCAGATTTCTTTTTCAGTGTGAAAGCCTTCCTCGACCTCACAGCACCACTTCCTTCAAGTGGGCAAGGATGAGGGGTTTGACACTATCCCTCCGGCTCTTGTCTCTGGGAAAAGCTGTGGACAGCCAGTTCGTCCTGTCCTTTGGTTTTGATCTACTCTCGCCGCCCTGTCGCACACGCTTTACAAGTCATGCCGTCTGGCAGAAGCATCTGGGATTGCACCACAAGTTACCGACTGACATCTGCCTATCTGACTCTATACCATCACCGTGAACGTTCGGGTGACACTGAACCTCCGTAATGGAAGCGAAGGTATTGCAGTGACTCCCGTAACACCAGCTCGGTGTACTCGTCCCACCTCATCCCCCCCCGGATCGCGGTCACAGCCATCGCGCTCTGGGTTATGTTGATGCAAATGCTATCGACAGAAGGGCTACCTCCTACTACGAAACTTTCTAATTGAGTGGATCGAGCATAACTCAACCTCGTCCCATGGTTCAACTCCCCTACTTCCCTTAGGGTTTCTGTGTTTTGCATCTTGTGCCCGCAACGAGAGTCGGGGCGGAAGAGAAGGGAGTCTTCTGAGCTGCCATTGGAACTTGGATACCAGACAAAGGGTCGCTGAAGGAGCGGGGATCAAAAGCACGACGACTGCAGTCCCAGAGCTAGAGGAGGCCATTCAACCTGTGTCAGTTCTTCCACAACATGGCATCCTGTAACGTTCAGGTGTCGCCGCAATTTGATACAACCTGCGGCCGTTCCGCCCTTCTCGGAGGAGGCCAGGCACAACCGGCATCCCGTTACCCGACGTCATGGAAATAGCTTCAAGCCAATGAGAGCCGAGCACCAAACTCTATGTTATAAGATAAAGGTACCTAGGCGCGGGCGTTTTGGGTTGTCCGTTGAATATCTCCTGACCAAACTCTCACGGATATTGAATCCTTCGTCGACGATATACGGCGGCAATATCACATAATGGCTTCGCCAAACAGAAAGGCACAAAGCTTGCTGTCAGCCGTACTCCTTTCTGGTATACATGCAACTTGAGACAAGTTTCATGCCCCAAAGAGGGGGCATCGAAAGAGTACACGTCATCCAAAAGCACCAGCGGGAAATCCAGACGGGAAGTTGAGCTACCCACTGGATCAAGGTTGGTCCGAGGCCCCCAAGATCATATTGTATATGGTCATGGATGGGCGGGTCAACCTTCAAGTATGAGCAGACCCGAGGTATGGAGGAATTGGGTGAGGCGAGCTTTCCACAGCACCGCTGCGAAGGCCATGGGAACCTCCGGTCTAGGATGTCCAACTATACGAAGACCATGGAAACCATGTTCAGACCATGCCCGGCCCTGGAAAGCAAACGAACTCGACATGGCCTTCCCTCACAATCACTAGCCACACGTCAAGTTCGCCTCTGTTGCGGTTTCTGGGTGTGCCGTATGCATGAACCAAGCGACTGCCCAACCACAGCACGACGGCGGGCTGAATGACGGGTGTTGCTGGCGTGCGAAATGGTTGGCTTTGGGGCTCTGGACCGGAGCTTGGCCTCCTTGTCAGGTCCCGAGAAGCCCTTGCGCAGTGGCAGAAAGCGTATCATCACGGTGCTCGCAGGTCAAGCAGTCCGGGCCGAAGGCCCCGAGTTTTTCGCGCCGGTTGATGCTGTACTGACCGGCCTATGGAAGCTGGCGTCTCCCCGGCATAATTGTTTAACAGCGTGTGGACTCGACGTAACCGACTGTTCAGGCAATAATCTCGATGAGGAAGTATGTCATCGACCGGGTTCGTCCGAAGTCGAGACACATACACACACACACTCTCTCTCTCCCCCCCTCTCTCACTCACACACACACACACACACACACACACACACAGGGGGAGAGAGTGTGTGTATGAGCTGGCAGCACCCCACCTTTCGACCTCTCTACAGACAGCATTCTCGGCAGGCTTTTGTTTCGGAGTTGAGCCGTTGTGGACAGAAGGGAATTTCTCTCATCAGGCTTGATGTTAATGTGTCAACATACGTGGGAACGCTTTTTTTTTAAAGCAGTGCTGCATTCGTGCCAACTTGGCCGAGCTCGCATGTCTCCACAAGCGCTGGATATGGAAAGGACGCCATGTGCCACCCCTGGTCCGTTCTGAGTGGTCGTCTGAATGTGACGCCAGAGCACCGTGGTGAGAGAACCTGCATATGGGGCGCATGCGTGGTTTACAACCTTGTGAGCTGCTCGTCAGTCGCTGCGGGGGATATGACTTGGGCCAAGCTGACAGACAGCAAGCGCGGACCAGTGACATCCTTGGCAATTGAATCTGCCAACTTGCCGTTCAATAGCCTGTCCTGGGGGTACGAGTTGAAGGGCCTCGAGCACGAGGGCAGACCCTACACATGCTCTGTTCTTGGGTGCGGCGTTGCAGGGCAACCTGGGGTTATCCATCGTGCCCATATCACTCGCAAAGGCCTCACCCACTTGCCCGGTCGGATTTGGAGGCTCTCATTCCGGATTAGTGTGCAGCCGAAAGGTAAGATCGAACCATGTCAATCACTTGTACAAAACCAAGGCCGCGAGAGGCGTCGTCGGTAGCATAGGCCGCGGGTCATTTTCGATATAGGTGCCAGAGGGGGCTCCAAGCCTGACGATTGCGCCCGGTCATCTCGATCAGCGTGTCGTACGAGTCGCGTCCTACCCCCTATGTACAACGCCGCAGCACGGCGGCGCTGCCAGAGTGTAGCCCCAGTGCAATTGGTGACATGCAGCATTAGTGCTTCGTTTGGGTTGTCTCGAGGCGGCCAGTCCAAGAACAGCCAAGCGGCATTAGACCCATTCACACACCATTCCATGTATGCCGCCGCTCAGCACCAGGATCCCCTCCCCAATGGGCCGTTGTAGCGTTGCATCGGGATTCATCCCAGATTCGGTTTGGTGTTTGTCATCCCTCCTGGGCCGTTGCTCTCTGCTTTTGGGCTTCGAGGCTGAGGCGATGCCGTCCAACTACTTTCGATGAAGTCCAGCGGCAGTTAGCGGCGGCGGCGGGGGGGTTTCAGCGACCGGTGTTGGCCGCCTGGAAAGTTGGATTGGGATCTGTTCAACGATTACTGCAAAAAGGTAGGGCGTGATCATTGTGGACAAGTGGCCAAGTGGTAACGGCGTGAACTCGGGCATATACTCGCTACTTACACTACGGCACCCCGCGTGCCACCCATTTGGGTTCCGTCTTTTCGTATTTAGTGTACATTAGGTGTGCGCGCTTCTACATATGACCGGATGTGGAAGCTGAGAAGGAAGGAAGGAGCTGTCGATTACGTGTGAAGAAGCAGGCCGGATTGCGGGAGCCCGGTTGGGTTACCTTTGCCCGTGAAAGCTGCATACGCGCCACCAACGGCGCAGTTTGTTTCGCCCGGCTTTTTCGGGACAATAATCTTTCGAAAAAGCCAGATGATGCTCCCTTCCACAATCCTTCGTCAACTCCCCAAGTAGGCCAGCCTAGCCAGGATCTGGATTGCTGGCGGGCCTGTTTGTAATCGCCCAACTTCTACAAGGTGGGTGGTGCACGCGGCAAAAAAAAAAAAAAAAAAAAAAAAGGCGCCTGTGGCGCCGGCCCTACTATGTAGAAAAGTAGGGTCCCCGCGTGCGAGGAACCGTAGTTGACACAGTAGAAGGACTCCCTGTAAACTCCCTTCCTTCTACTGTACTCCGTAGTGTGTCGGTCAACTTGTCGCAGTGGCGGCACCAGCCAAAATCATCATTACCCCAAGCACTAGCTAGCATCCAACCTGGCGAGCCTATCATCGTTTCCCCGGAAGGACGCATAAGAAACTCGGCAAGTCGGCAAGTCGGCATGAAGACACGGCTGGTAGAGCGACGGGCCGTCATCCATATCCTCGGGTTGGGCTGCTTGCTGTATGAGATGGGAGCAAACTTTTTCTTTTGTGCAAAACAACAAAGTACAGGGTGATGCCACAACGTTCGGTATCATCTACCCTGATGGGCGTGGTGCCGTCGTATTTCACCCTGATTGTCCTCGCTGGCCAAGAGGAACTCTCGGCTGAGGAAAAGTCGCACCAGACCATCAGCCAAAGGGTCCAATCCGCAAGGAGCCAAGATAGATTATTGGCAAGGGGAGCAGGTTCAGGGATGTTTCCCGAGGTCCCGTTCCCGACTCGACTATGGGACAGAATTGGAAACTGTTCCATTGAAGTTTCAAGAACCAGCGACGCGTCTTCTAGTTCATTCCCATAACGAAATTCCTAATTAGCCGACGGATCGCTGAATGACATCGGCAAGCTTCCATCATCCGTTCGCGGCGTCCTTGGACGCCGACGGTTACCGCCAGCAAGGTGGGCAGGTCTCACCCGCCGGGCCCATCCAAGAAGCTGAGCCAGCAAGCAGCCTTGCAGATGCGACCCGACGTAGTAGGCGTGGGATGGTCTGCTGCAGGCGGCTGCACAGGCTGCAGATATGACGGCACGGCAGCACTTTGCTGCGGCAACAATAAATAGCAACGTCGATAGTGACTTCACACGGCCATCTCTGCAGCTTAGCCCCTGGCAGCTTGCTCCAAAGCCGCCCCAGACCGCGTCCGATATCCATTCACCCGGCGACTACCTATTGCGTCTCTTTGACCTCATTCAAGTGAATAGTCGTCTGCTGGCTCGCAACGTTTGTTCGGATCGACATCATTCATGGCCAAGGGAGTTACGGGGCTGAGCTGTAGGACAACCGAGCGAGACCAGAGACGGGCAGACTCGGCGGACCTAGGCATCTCGCCTCGGCGATGATGATCTGATCGCAGCGTGCAGTTTTTTTGTGATTCGTTGGCAGTTTGACGGTGCAGCTGCCAGTGTCAGTTGACTTGAATCGCACATCGTACAAGCTTCAGGAACCCAGGATCAGGGTTGAGCAAGTGTGGATCATGTAGAAATTGGGGGCCTGGCCTCAGCCCCTCCAGAGCTCGGGACACTGAGGAGGGTGCGGCAGCGCGAACTTGAAAGAGAGGATGGAGTCCGAACAAAACGTGTAGTGTCCGGCGGCCGCTACCGGGACATTGGAGGAACAATTGTCCGCACTTCTAGAACACTGGCGATTCGCGTTGTGGAGCGCGTGGCCAAGCCAGCCACCGGCGCAGATCGGAATCCGTGCTACGTTGCCGATATCCAAGATAAGCCGTGAGGTATTGGCCACCTATTGACTGAGATTGCGGCTGCTTTGGGGAAGCGTTTCGGCCCTGCCTCGTCAGTTGGACAGTTTGTGGATGAAATTGTTTTCGCGTCCATTTACCGACGGAATCCCGCCGTCCATGAAGTCCTGTGCGTAGCCTGCGGGGAAACGGGGGAGCGCGGCGGATGTGTTCGGCCCAATGACCGGCGGTATTAAATTATCCGGGATTATCCAATAGCTTTCGATGATGAGGGGGGTATGGTGAGCACTGTGCGGGGTAGTCTTCCAGGAAAGACGTCAATATCTAGAGAGCACGGCATCGCAACATGAAGGCAGCTGAGAGGGCGGTTGAACTTGGCACGGGTGATTGTCGCAACCCCGTGTCGCGGCCTAGGTTCAGGACCGCATGATCGCGACGTGTAAAGTGTGCGCTGGCGGCTGCCGAAAAGGTTGCCAAAAGCAAAGCATCCCTGCCAACCAGCTTCGGCTGGTAGGTAGGTAGTTGGTTGTTAATTATGAGACTTGGAGACTCGATGGTGAAGCCGGAAACTCGGTACCTGGTGAGCGTGTAGGGCAAGTCGGACTAAGGCGGGCGGCCCCTAGTGACAGAAAAAAATCAACCACGTTAAGAAGATGAAGGGCGGCCATCCGAGACGTTAACCGACCAAATCGCATCAACAGAAGCGGGTCGCTACCTTAGCTGACGTAACTACTGGCCCAGAAGCTGTGTGTAGCCGCTGGGGCTAGATGCGTCCAAGGAGAAAGCGACACGGGGTCCAGCTACCGACACGATGCTTCTTCCTCTCTGGGGCTTCGCAGCCGTGGTACGTACGTACGTACTTGGCCGCCTCGGACACGAGTGTCGTTGTGATCTGCGATAGTCGGGAAAAGGGGGTTTGTCTGGAAGCTCGAAGGAGTTAGCGGTGCAAGATTGCCATCCGTAGTGGGATGTGCAAAGAGCAGATCCGTGGCCCACTTCGTACACCCAGGTACAATCCAGTGTAGGAGAAGGGCCGTGGCCCTGCCCTTGAGATTCGGGTTTGCTCTTTGAGATGGAGATAGGAGTGTAGGGGTATAAATGTGGAGTTGGTAAAGACGGTCAGCGGCTCGATGGTTGGGAGTGTGCGACATCTATCAAGGTAGAACAATATATAGACTAAGACGAGATACATGGAATTCCGTAGTCTAAAGAAGAAAGATAAATTCGGAGTGCTCTGTATAGGAAGCAATGATTCGGCCGAGGGCTTGGGCGTGACTGATCAAAGTAAGCTTAACCTTTTGCAACCCGTCGTGGAGAGAAGCAACCGGCGATTAGAGGGGTCTGATGGTGTGGCCGATGAGTATGTGTCAATAACAGAGAGAGAGAGATTGTATTCTATACCTTGTCTTTGAGAGTATCGACGACGTATTGCCCAGCACCCCGACCTGCGAGTGCCTACCTTGTTGTCTCATCACATGGTGTGTCACTGATAGACGGGGAACTAGAGGTGTTGTATTTCGCCAGAAATATATATGGATTGGTTTGAAAATTGAACCAAAAAAAAGACTGGGCCACCTATCCACCGCCAGCCTAGCTGACTTTGTGAGATGCAGGCTTGGTTCACTGGATGGCGCTGGGCCTCGCTTTGTGATACCTCGTGTGCCAAGTTCACAGTGCTGCTGGGAGGGCAAGCAAGTTGTCGGAAAGTGGAAGGGACGAGGAGGGTTGGGTACGTATCTTGTCTCCGGCCTCCTGATAGGTATCTGTAATGGTAATAGGAACCGTGGAAAGGGCAAGGTACATGGATGTCTCCTCTTAGCTCTTAGGCATTAGCGTGGGTGGATTACAGGAGGTTTAAGTGGTTGACAGGGATGCTCTCCACGTACTGGTCCACGAACGAACGGCCCGGTCGTTATTTCGGGTTGCCAATATTCTTCCTTCCTCCTTTTGTTTGACTTGCGAATTCAGTGACGAGTGCTATAAGCTAAAGAGGGTACTGTATTATCGAAGGCGCACGATAGAGCGCAAAGGGGATGATGTCACAATAGGTCTTGATCAGATACAGTGCATCTATCGGATGGTCTCCCACGGGGAAGTGAAATAAATAAATAAAAGATAAATAAGAAGGGGAGAAAAGTCTGAGACGAGCCAAGGAGGAGGAGGAAAGGGACGACGGGGAATGAAAGTTGCAGATGGAAATGCCCGGGAAGAAGAACAGCGCAGGCGGCAACCCAAGACACGCAGAGGTACCGACACAGTGAAGTCGAAACAGCGCTAGTGCAGAGATGGAGATTTCGATGGGGGGGGGGTTTGTCTTGGGGGTACGTACACTACTGGCCAATTCTTTTCATCGGGCAGAGGTTGGGATTTCTCATTCTGGAGCGCGTCTGTCTCTGTCATGACATTATCCTCCACGTCTATCCGTAGGGCGCCTTGAAGCTTGGCTTGGCGACATGAGGATTAACCGACGACGGCAATCGGCACCGGGGTATCCGTACAGGTATTGTATACATAATCCGTGTACGAATACCTGAGTAGGTAGGTCGGTCGGTAGGTAGGTACACAACAATGGAGATAGGGCTGGGGCAGCTGCTGCGGCGAGGCAACGCCTACCTAGGTTGATACCGGTACATGTTCCTCTCTGTTCATCTCCAATTGCTAATCTCATTCTCGAGCTTCTCCGACGTAGGGTGGGTCGCTCGTCGATATTGAACTCGACCCCGGTTCAAAAACAAAAAAAAAGTACATGTGTCCACTCGCAAGAAGTTTGCTCAAGGATCGTGGAGCCATCTGAGATTATGTTGGACTGACTGCGTCTCTGTCCACGCGCGATATCGAATTCTGAATCACCAAGACGGCGTGCGACAGTCGACAACGGGCACCATTCACGAGTGGCCGTCCACAAGCTCCCTCGGCTTTCCCCCTTAGCGACACATCCCCGCGTCTCGACTGTTTCCTTTCACTCCACCGAGGTACATATTCTGAGGTGTAATGTATCCGTGCCATACCGCACGTAATTACCTTGGTTGCATGGAGCTTCCACGCAGTCGCGTCCTTGTTGCAAGATACGGCGGGTCAACAGCCGTGGTGTCATGGGCGTCGACATTGTATGGTTGGGTAAGCAGGGCCAAATGCTTACACGGGCGAGATGGTAGACATTGGTGCTACCTGGCTGGGATAGCACTCGACCAAGATGGCAGAGACCAGCGAGCTGCGACTGGGATTCGCGGGCGTGGCGGCGTCCAGCTCCGGTACGTGCCTTTGCAGTGCAGTGTCTCGTCTCATGCCGTCTCGCCTTGCCCGTGTTACGGCAGCCTCCCTCACACGGTATTGGGCGTCGGCGAGTAATCACCAAGCACTTGCGGGGGCTTCAGGACACGGAAGGAAAGGGAAACAAAGCGACGGACGATAGGAAGCCTAAGCAGATGCGACTGTAGTCCTGAAGGAACCGTCCGTTTCCGTACGGATACTTAGCCCGTACGAATGGATGGATACCTTGCCTACCATGACTGACTGCACTGCACCTTCCTCGACTTCGGCCACCCCCATCAATGTGCAATGTCGGGCGTCGAGTGTCGTCCCTGCCCCCGCTTCGTCCCGGATTCCCAGTTGATGTCCCAGTGGTAGTCGTATGAGTTGCAGCTGCAGTTTCCAATTCAAGTTCGAGTGAGCCCTCTCCCAAGCCCAGGTCTCTCTTTTCTCACACGTGACAGCCTTGAACGTAACTGACAAGTTCATTCCCTTCCGGTATTGTTGCCAGGTATGTCTTGCTTGTGCACCTACCTAGGTAATTAGTACACTTCGCAAGTTATCTAAGAGTGTAAGGTACCTACCTACCTACCTACCTACCTACCTACCTGTTTGGCACACGTTAAAGGGGATGGTGTCATGCTGAATTAAGGTATCTAGATGTACACGTTCATATTAAACAATGTGAACTACGGCGTATGTACTATACGTAGGCGGATGGGCAAGCTGGGACACAGATATGCGTGCACGCCGACGTGGGCGTGGGCGTGGGTGGACGTGGATGCGGACGGGCATGGGCTTGAGCCTGGGTCCACGGGGGCATTGCATATCTGCCCCAGCGTTCTTTCCTTCCCACGGTGCTAGGTAGTTGCTCGCTCTTCACCTTCACTCGACCTTCCCGGTCGGCACCTTCCTTACCTCTCTCTCTCTCTTGCCCCCTTCCCCTCACCCTCCCTACCTTCCCCTTCTCCTGCTGCCCCCTACTGAGGTACCTGAGGTACCTGAGGGCACCTTGCCTTGGGTACGGATACCTTTACCTCACATTGGCATTTTCCTCCCCCCTCCACTCCACTTCTTTTCCTTGGCTGGACACTTTGCTACCAAACTCCCCCAATTAGTTCAGTCCCAGTAGGTGTACAGTGTATTTGTAGTGTACCTGTAGGCACCCAGCTCTAAGCTACCTAGGTACCTAGGTAGTCTCCATCTACAGTGGTTGTCCCCCACGTCGTAACTGTATGTACATTGCCTTTCCCACTCGACTGATTGGCCTTGTCGAATTTGGCTGGCTGCCGCTGGCACGGTCTTCCCTCTCACGTCCGTGTTCGCCCACTCTTTTTTTCGGGCGGTTCCTATCTCCGCCTCTTTTTATTTTTTATTTTTTGTGCTCCTGCCGTACCGTGGCCGGTTGGTTGCACTGCTACGTAGCAAACACGCCCAAGACAAGTCATCATCATCACTCTCTTTGTGGCTTCTTCCCTGCCCTGCCCTGATCGCTGCTTCTCTTGCCACGGTCTGAAGTCGACTCCTTGATTGAGTTACGGCCTCCCTCTCGCGAAGCTTCGCAGACTCCAGCCAACATCACTCAGCCCACCTGGCTCCAACGTCGTAAGACCTAGCCGATCTGCATATACATCCATCCGATTCGACCCGCCAGTTCCCCCGTCGTCTCGTTTTCCGCATACTCTCTCGAGCCAACCCGGCTTCGTTTCCACCATTCAAAACGCACACGTCGGCACCCGCCACTTCCCATCAACGTTACCCTTTCGACGACTGCAAATAGCCCTTTCTTCGCGCTTTCAGCTCCGAAGCCCTTTCTTGTCTTTCCCGCCCGCGACGAAAAAAATAAAACCCAAAAAATAAATAAAAATAAAAATAAAAGATTACTACCGTTGGCCGTTGACTTGAGCCTGCGTAACGGTTTGGAGAAAAAGAATCACCCCCGTTCTTCTTTTCCCCTTTGGTGAGTGGTTTCCCTGTCCAGCCCGCT